TTCAAAACAATCTTTAAAAAAATATTAAGTTTGTTTATATTTTTGAATTTTTATTGTGATAAACAGGTTTTAAATGCTAACACCCGGTTCAATGAAATAATCGGAGAACCGGTTGATAAAATTAATGAAATAAACTATAATGGCGTTTACATGTGCTCTAAATAAAGATTTGGCTAGGTTTTGTGTGTGGGTTTCTGTTTTAGTTAGTTGAACTCGTCTTTGTTTAAAGTTAATTTACTAATTAGTTTTGTTGGCAGCTGACAGAAAGTTTTTCATGGACTACAGAAAGTTTGAAAAGGGCAAGAAAATAAACTTTACGAGGGAAACTTAAAAATTCCATTTCGAGTTTCAGTTGAATTTTGAAGATCTGAAAACTGTTCACCGTGATTGAGGTGGCGAACGGAATAAATCTGAAACGTTTTTCTTAAATTCTATATGGCTCCAGGTAATTTGCTTTGAAGTTTCGCCATGTCATTCAGTGCGCATCAGTCAATCAATCAATCCAACAAATTCATATTCAACTAGAAACCTGTCCATCAATTGAAGAAATTGAATTTCTAATGTATAGACATCGAACCCTCTCACCTTGACCCAAAACCAGTGCGAAATGGCAATGCATTGCAAAAGTAAAAGTGATCCAACGAACCGAGCAGATTTAGAACGTATCCACCAGCTACAACAATTAGCTAGCAGAACAGACCGAAAGCGAAATGCACAATTAGCAAATTGACGCCAGTAAACAGAGGCGGAAAACCCAATCAATAAACATCAGTAAAATACGATGCCACAAGCAAACCGAGCTGACTAAAAGCGTTGTTGTTGGGGACTGCCATAAAAAATGAGGTGCACCTGTTGCTACCTTGCGGATACACAGAAAGCGATACAATGTATCACACAGATACTCGTGTGACAGGCAAAAGTGTTTGGTATGCAGAGCGTGTGTAACTAACATTTCAGTAAACAGCTGAAATTCCTTCTAAATATGTGAGTAAAGTGTAAATTTCTGCTGTTCTCTAAACGCCAAGCTGGCGTCGCCAACCATTTTGTACAGTACTCTTTAGATTGTTCAGGCGGTATTCTAATGAGCTGTGGGAAATGTCTGCCAAATAAGAATTGACCAAAAAAAGGGCCAGCACGTCGTTTTTGTGGGAGTAAAAAGAGTGACGGAAATCCAGGTATCTTTGCACGACTGTTGATAGTCGTACCTGCATCTCAATGTCTGCTTGTATTCGACTTACCTTTTGTCCAGGTTTCTGCTGCCTACTGTGTGCTGACTAGAAACAAAAGGCATTTAATTAAAAACACATTTATTTTAGATATTCTGTTGGCGGACTTTGTTGTTTGTTGTGCGCCAGCCGAAGTGGGCCAACGAACTTGTGTTCTTAATGGTTCACCGAGCAGAGAAATATAGCGGAGAGCATAAGATTTATGGAGAAAATAAATAAACGTAAATTCATAGAGGACTGTATTATTAGTTTAAAGTGGTTTTGATTATTAGCTGGTTCCCAGGGCCTTAAAAATCAGCTGATATTAGGTTTATCTTTCGATTTATTTTAGGCACACCCATTCTCCGCATTTATTTTTAAAGTTTCTAAAGTATTTATGAAAAACTCCATTTAATATTTGATTTCGTTTCATTTGTATAACGACACGTCTACAGATGTTGTAGCTTTAGGTTTAATATGTGATTTTTCAAAACGAAAACCACAATGGAAACAAAATAAATCATGTCAGGCAAGGGCAGACGGAATCTTTCACTATTTGTGTCTTGGGCATAAAAAATGACCAAATGCCATTTTGCATATCATAAACAAATGCCAAATATAAATAATATATTGAAATGGGAAGTCCAGCTGCTACAGGGGCGGACGACTAGTCCTATACGTAATACATATATGAATATACCCATCTGTATCTCAATGGATATTGCTCATTACCTCTATGGATGCCAAGGCAGCCCACACGCGTTTGTTTGTTATTGTCTTTTGTTTAGCCTTTATTTTGTTTAGTTTTGTTATTGTTTGTGCTCCTCTTCATGCTATGCTCCTTATTTCTGCTGCTGCCTCCGGACTGCCTGTCATTTATAAATTTGTTAAAAACCTTCTAAAACAAAAACTACGAAACTAATGCGGGCACTATTACCCCGTCTCTCACATGGCAGGCACGAATTTGCATCTTTCTCGATTTAGCTAAATGACGCAACTATACGAAAACCGAGACTACAAAAAATGTATCCTACATATGGCAAGTTTATGCATAGCAGCAGCCCCGGTCTCATCAGCATCGGCTATTGTAAAGTATTTTTTGTTTTATATGGCAATTTTTAGATTTCTTTTTTAGTCTTTTGATGAGTTTTGGTCATTAGTGAAATAGTTGCTGTGCCTTTTCGAGGAGATAATTCCGCGCTCTTTAATTGCCATCTCGTTCAGAAAGTGATGTCATATCCTTTAAATATTATTCAAATTTCACTTTTTCTGCTGGTCAGGCAGAGCTAAGACTCTTTGTTTCTGCTGTTCTGAAGCGGAAAATCTTCTTAGCATATTTTACACAGACAATCAATAACAAAGTGCTCACACTTTCCATCAACGAAAGCCATTGACCCGAGCCGAGTTACTTAGATACATTTAATGCTGAGACAAAAAAGAAAGGGAAAACTGTCGCAATTGGAGAGAGGAAAGCTTGCCTTTAATTGCATTTTGCTGGCGGAAAGTAAAAGTCACTTATGGGAAAACTCAGATCCACCCAGACAAAGTCGACAATAAAGGTTTCCCTCCGCACCACACTCCATTTTTACGGATCCGAGTCCCAGATGGCACTTTCTGTATTATCTTCTTCTTATACGAGTATGTATTTCGGTCTAGGGCATTGTTTATGTGTCTGATTTTCTAATTGGTTTTTGTCGAGTTCAAAAGCGTAGTCGCCAATCCCAGACAAAAGGGTTGAATGAGCGCGTTGTCCGAGAAAAAGGCGTTCGCCAGCAGTTTTTCAATTGTTTGGTTGCAAAGTGTAAAGTGTAGATTAAATTGTCAAGATAAATGGCGCAAGACACGCCCCATTTTTGTGGCTACTGTGTGTCGGAGTCTTTTATGCTCTTTTAACCATTTTTCACTGGCTAAGACTTTGGGAAACTTACAGGGGGTTAAGTCCTACACGCCATTACTTTTCCATAGTCAAAGCGCATTTCCTGCCCACAGGTAGCAATCACAATCACAGCTTTGATGGGCCACTTCAAGTTGTCCGTGTTCGTATCTGTATCTATATCTGTGGAATCTGCTTTTATCTGTCTGTGTTCCCTACTCATTTGACTGCGTACCTCTGTGTGAGTGTCGGCTTCATTCAGTTTGATTGATAGTTTGTTTACAAATTTAATTTCATTTTACTTATTTCCCTTCTTTGGTCTTGTTATTCTTCTTCTCTCCGAATGCCTTGTGGCATTCACCTGTGTGTTCTACCTCTGCCTTCCCTATGCCTTCCCAGTGTTTGTCTTTTGCCTCAATGTTTTTCAACTTGGTCATCGAAGCTGGCCGCGCCTTTTATGTGGTCGCCGCCTCGCAATGTTTGCCTTCTTTCTTTGGTTATTTTATATAATGAATGTTTCTGAAGTACCACATTTACATAGGAACCCAGCAAGAGCCATATTAAATGCAATCCATTTGAATGTTCGCACATTTGTGCAATCCAATCACGTAGGCACCGTAAAAAGGACGCCTAAAACTCTTTTCAAAGAGTTCATTTTGCCTGCCTAATGTGCGGGCGTGACAAGGCCAAAACTCAGGCAATTGTTGCTGTGGCAGAACTTCTCCTTGGGGACCTGCCCAGTTACCAAGTCCCAGACGAAACATTAGAGAGCGGTGCGCCGCGTTCACAGGTCGGGGAATAGAACAATTTGACATTGATTAAAGTAAATATTGTTATTGGAGGGCGGCTTTGTTGTTTTGTAGTGAACAGGAGGGCTTTTTCGGGCTATTTATTAAAAATCAAAGCAAATTATTGAGTTAAATAACGCGAGCATAAAGTTGTTTTAGGGTTAATCTAGGCGTAATATCAGTTTCCTCTTGGGAGGGATAAACAAAACCCCTCTCATTTATCATAGCCCTTGAATCAACAAATTATTTTTAACTTGACATGAATTTGCTCTGACACTTTAAAATGTTAAAAATAAATTATTTTTAGTCGAAATTTCAATGAAAGTTTTCTTTGTTATTGATTTTCTTTGCTGGATAAAATTGTATTTTATTCTGCAAAATAGTCAGCAGCAATGCTCACTCTAAAGACCGAAATAATGTCTCGATAAGCTTTTGCATACGCTTGAGTGATTTTGTCTTGTTTGGTAAAGCCCCGACCACCGACCCCAATTAGAATTTGGTCGCCTGTGTCCCCAAAAACAATTCCCAAGCTTTATCGTGCTGACTTCCTTCCTGTTTGGGCGAAAGGAAAATAACGCACACTGCAAACATTAGACACCAAGTGCAAAAGGGACCAGAAAGAAATCCCAATAAATCACAAGACAAAGGAATGGATGCGCGTCGGCAGCAGACTTGGTCCCATTCCCAGATCCCGATCCTGATCCTGAACAGAGGTCGTGGGCTGGGTTCTCCTTTGATTCAACGCTTTAAGACGCAAGTCGACAAATCACACGGAAGTGTAGTCGCGTCTGCGTGTCCTGGGATTAGGGACGCCATCACCTTGTTAACCTGCAGGCCATTAGCGTAATTCGTTTTGTGTCTCCGTTCGGTTTTCTGCTTGGTGTCATGGGAAACCCGAAAAATGTTGCGACGCCAGACAAAATTCCATTCTGAGGTTAGCCATCCCGACACTTCCTGCTCAGCGCCTTGTAGGGTTTCAACACACTGAGAGTCAAAGACTGCCACAATTAGCAAATTTATTTATGGGTTACGAGGAGATACCCTAAAAGACGCCACTTTGTACTTGTAAATTGCGTGCCACAAGAGGTTGCAGCCTAAAGATCTCCCCAAACTAAGACCCTTTACAATTTTCAGTCAGCCAGAATGGAGGCGCACGTGTGAGTGCCACAAACCGAGTGAAACCCGTTTCCCAGGAAGTGAGCAATTGACTGAGAAGGATGGCCTCGATGCACCAGAAGCGTCCCAGCATCAGCAACTGGTTCTCCTCGCTTCGACGTCAGCCCAAGAATAAGAAGAGCTCCTCCGGTTTGGGAGGCAGCGGAAGTTTTGGCAGCAAACAGCAGTTGCAGAGGAGCTGCTTTGACCTTTCGTCGACGGCGGCAGTGGGTGGCGCTGTGAATGTGGGCGTGGGTGTGGGATTTTCCCTGGCCGGATCGCCGGGAAGTCGACTAAGCAATAGTACGTTTTACATCAACCCTCTGAATGCATCCTCCGCTGGTGTCAAGGACGATCGTCGCCGCCTGGTGGAAACGGGTAGCAGCAGCGGGAGTAGCTTGAGCAGCGTTTGCACTCGCTGTTTTTGCAATCTGCTCGCGAAAAGCGAGCCAAACAAAGACAATACGCCCCTGGCCACGCCCACACCCGCCCCAAAGGTCCCGCCGAAGCCGCCCGTCAAACCCCGCTCCCCTTCTATGGCGCCTTTCACCAGCGTGGCGACATATAACATTACCAACCTCTCGCCGGACAGCCCACCGCCCGCCAGTCCCTCATTGAGCACTGAAACCGTGACCTGCAGCGATGTGACCCACAAGGTCACAGAGGTGCAACGTCTGCCCTGCGATGATCCCACAACGGGGCTCTTTAGCAAACGAACTGAGTACAAGCACACCACCACCATGACGACCACAAGGACCCTGATTGTCTCGCGACCCGTGGAACTGCTATTAAATGAAAAGGGAGAGATAATCTCGAGACGATCCCCGCGCAAAACGCGGTCTAACTCCTTTGGTTGCATGCTGGATGTGGACAGTGAACCGGAGACGGGATTGGGAATGGGAATGGGCATGGACAATCCCGGATTGCAGCTGGAAACGGATACCAGTTCGGGACTCAGTTCGCCGCTGACACCCGATGCCGGTGATCTGCGCTTCATTGACGACAGCTCAAATTCACAGAGTGAATCCGAGCGGAACTCGATCAGTCACAACAACAACAACAATAATGTGAACCACAATAACAACAACAGCGATAACAGCAGCAAGCGGAGCAGCCAGCAATCGAATCTCTGCGAGAGTTGTCGCACGATCCTCGAGCGAAACCGCAGCAATGCGGAGGAGAGTGGGAATCTAGTAATCCTCAGGCGACCAGGAAAGGTATGCAGGGTGGGCAGGAACGGGGGACAACATTCCAGAAATACCATTAAATAAAAAGTCATTGGAATTAGATAAAACCTTATCTCGTTCCCAAGTTGAAAGATTTCAATAATAGTTGTGGAATTATTGTATTTTGTATTCTAAACGAAAACAAATTAATAAGCAGATTGTCGTAACCGCAATGGAATTCCCGAAATGACTTTCCTCAACATCTTATTTTTAAAGCATTAATGTTTTTTGGGTTAAATAATAATGTCGGATAAAAAGTTCTGCGCCGCTTAAAAAATATATTTTAGACAAACGTGTTGTCAATTCTCCGAAAAATTAGTTTTGGAATTTCTTAATCTTAGCTTTTTTGCACCTTGTTTTGCCATTTTGTATCACAATCAATTTGTTTTCGAATCACTTGGATTCCCCATTATTTGAATTCGAAGAATTTGCATTGAGCGGGCTGTAACCGGTTTTCTCCCCTCGAAGCACCTGTGGCTGCTTCTGTGGAACTTCCAAGCTGCTTGTTCTCACACGCATCGACAAGTCACTTACCTGTCGCTGTATCTGAAAGATACCAAGCCTTGCGTTGAGTTTATTTTTAAGTTTGGCGCTCATTATCTTTGTCTCCCAACCTGCTGCTCATTTTCATTAATAAGCCGTATCCACTTGGGCTTTTTAATCATTGTCGTTTTCGAACCCGACGATTGAATTAAGAACCTGTTTATCGCTTAACGTTTTTACTTGGTTTTATGTCATTTCCTATTGCATTATTACCATACGATTAGTTTGTTGATTGGAAAATTCGAAAATTTACATAATTTACTTCTCAAAATGTGTTGTTTTTATGAACTGCGTTTTATGGGAACTAAATGGCCATCGGAAGTGGTGTGGTATGTGGGTAATGAAAATTCATAGTTTAACCATGATAAACTGTTAACGAATAAAATAGATTCGTTAAGTTAATACCGAAAAACAATATATTTAACTAGAATTCACCAACGATTACTTAATAGTAAACCGTGTGAATAGTAATGTTAATTTTAAGTCATAGAAATTTTTCAAATATTATTAATACTAGGAATGCTTGACTTTCGAATCGCATATATTAAATAACATAAAACCGCTTAGAGCTTAACACAAGCTTGTTCTTTATGACACGCATCGAGAATTAAAATTCCTCAAAATCATTCAAAGTCAATGAAATATAAATCTATATTCTGACAAGTCACTGACAGGGGTATAAATAGTTTACTCAACGAATCCGCATTCAATGAGAATTTCAATTTCGATAGAAGCGAGTGAAGGTCCCAATGATCTCATCGTGAATCTCAACGATCTTAGAAACTGCATGTAGAAACAATCATATGCATGTGCGTGTAGTCAATTACTGCTCTTGGACAATTTGTCAATTGTATTTTATGGCGCTTAATAAACAATTCTTCCCCTTTTCGGTGGGATATAAAGCTACTGGGCATAACCCTGCCATGAATCAGGAGGTCATTCAGAGGGCCTAATTGATACGTTCCGGTCTCGTGACTCTTATCATTCATGCGTCAACTCAGCACTGTAGAAGCTCACAGATACAAGATACTTACCGCACACACTTTGCTTCGGGGCAACCTCGCTGTTTCGCTTCTTTGAGCACCAAATTAAATTGACATTCTTATTTCGGAATGACCCTTGAGAAAGAGGCCCAGCGCCCATGCCCACTTCTCCAAGAACAGTAACCATAAGCGATGTCTCCGGTTCAGTGTCAGGTAGATCGTTAATTCAATTAAATACGCTTTGCATTGAGTTTTATTGCTCTGCTCTATTTCCCCCCACTTGTATTTTTAGCTCTAGAACGGACAAACTTTGAAAATAGTTTCAAGTGAGATGATGTCGTCGTTGGGGCGGTTAGTGTTATACCCTTGCAGAGGGTATAATAATTTTAGTCAAAAGTTTGCAACGCAGTGAAGGAGACATTTCCGATGAAAATATTCCTTTGAGATATAGTAATTATTTAGTATATCAAAATTACGGTTTTAGTTTTTTTTAGAATTAAACAACAATATCATATAGGTGATATAGAAACGATGGTAAAATGCAGCGCAAAATCGACATGGCTTCATTGTTTTTAGTAATATAGACATAGAAATCGAAATGTAGTCGTTTTATAATAACTACAAGGGTATATAAACTTCGGCTTTCCGCAGTTTGCTTTCTTTTTTGTTTATTTTGGCGCCAGTCGGGAAGCGACACGGCTCTGAGGAAATGCAAATTTCTCGATTTTCAACTGGGTCCGTGTTTAAAATTTATGGGATTTTAAAAATATCACACGCAGTTTAAACAGCAGTCTAGTCACTTGAACTGAACTTTTGCATTAACTGTGAAATGTCGAGTGCAAACTGTATTTGCATATGTATTTTTAGTTACAGGAACTTTCATAACTTGTTTTTAAATTCTCGGCAGACTTAAAAACTTTACTTACCCTTTTATTTATAAATCTGTCATTGTAGCAAATCAAAGATGAGTTGGGCGAGGTTGTCATGGAAATGGAGGCGCTCGATGTGCCCGAAGACTGCAAGCATTCCAATAAGGATAAACAGATGTCCATTGGCCGCAAAAAGTTCAATATGGATCCGAAAAAAGGTGAGTGAATGGGTTAAATTTAAAAATGATCCTAAATGGGGTTTGGCTTGTGGGTTTCCCTCTAAAAGCGACTGTTTGATTGCGTCTGTAATTCTGATGACAAAGTGCAAATCAATATGCAAATAAAAATTTCCTTAGAGCTCAGTGCAATTGAAAGGGTTCGCTCCATATAATCAGTCGAGATTCCCTGCTTCACAGCAGCTTATTTGGAAGTCAGGAAGGGAGTGTCTCCCAAAGTCGTGAAATGTAAACTTTGCCGATGCGATGATTTAAATGAATTTCCAATGACAACGGGCGTCACCCCGTAGAGACGACAATGAAGTCAGACAAAATGCTTTATAATTGAGCTGATGAGAGGGGAGAACAGACGACACCACAAACATGGTGTGGCAGAGGGTATATTCACAGCAGAATCTCCCCGAATCCATGGAGCGTGCTCCGGCGCCATAAACTGAAATTACCATGCGAAATTGCCAAAGAGTGAGAATTGGCTATATCGGGGTTGAAAGGAGGGACCCGCGAACACGTTCTTCCAATGATAATTTCGACGTTAATTTAATAACGTAATGAGTCCGAAAAAAAAATGCAGCGAGTGCAATATGAAGGCTGCGGAAAAAGATCTTGAGGGAAAGGAAAATTGTATAAGTGGGGAAGAGGCGTTCGTTCACTATCTTAAAACACTGACAAATTCGACAGTTCGTTGACATCTGAAGTACGTGCGTGTGGGTCGCCTCTCCCCCAAAACCGGAAAACCCCGTGAATGCTCAAGTGTTTAATTTAATGGAAATGTCAATGTCGCAATATTACCAAGAACTTGACAAGGGAGGATGCCATCGGAGCATCGTTCTGAAAGACAAAACCAGAAAAAGGATGGAGTAAATCGGGGTGCGAAGTATATTTACAAGATAAAGACATAAATTGGGTGAAAGCGTTTAGAGATCTCTATTTTGTATGTGTGCATGCCCATTAGATTATTTTTTCAAGAATTAAACACTTTAATGAGTACATTTGATTGGTAACAATAGAGTTTATAATTTATATATAAATATACTTATATAGTTTTTGAGGTTTAATTATTTCAAATTTAGAGAGAGTAAAATTTGAAGCAATTTTTCCATTTTGTAAGCTACTTTAAATTTTAATAACACTTTAGAGCACCTACATTGGGTGACCCACATGTCAACATGTCTCGAACATCTCGATTTCCCCGCCATATCTTGTAGCATTCCCCAACATCCCGGCCATATTTCTCGGTCCCACTCGTTTAAAGCCAATCAAATATTTACGTCAACTTCTTGGCCATAAATTACCGTCGACAAGTCAAAATTAGGCCACGTTGCCTTCAACAAAAGAGAGCACATCCTGCCCAGCGTTCCGGGTATCTATAGGGCGAACAATAAAAATGGTAATCCAAAGTGGGAGGCATGGGAGGTGCATGTGGCATGTGGCATGATGGCAGCATAACAAGAGTTGACTCAAATCCCAGTCGGAGGCGATATGTTTTGTCGTCGCTTATTAAAAAACTTCCACACCGAAACGTGCTCTGGGTGGCAGGAGTGGAGGTGGTGTCACCGTTATTTGTCTCTTTATCGGCCGATTATCAGCAATATACGCAAACAGATCCACACACAGACACTCAAATTAATGGCACACAAATGTGCCATCCATATCCATACGCTGAAATGATGCCCGTTGGGTGTTGACTGGGGGTTTTAGGGTGGTTGGGGGTGGAGAGGGCGCTGCCAACTTTGCGATGTTAATCGCGCGTGAAGCTTCCGAAGTCACGCAAAACTTTCTGCACAGCTACATTGAGAAACTTGTGGGGAAGACAGGAGCGCATTTTTGCTATTAAGGGCCTGAATTAAACACGGCTTAGATATCGGTTACAGTCCTGCTGCTGATATGTCATTATCGACACCATTTGTGAGACTGGAGTATACCGATGTAACAGATGACTTTAATTGAAAATCCAATTTCTGGATGACGTCCTGCTCTGCACTGTCGCCACCTTTAATTTGAAATACTTTTGTATACATTCAATAATTATAGATGGTTTTTATTTGTTTTAGTGTGTTTAGCGAGCTTTTATTGCAAGTGGTTGAGCTTCTTCATTGATTGGCAAATAATGACATCGCTATTATGGGGCACTCCCTCTTTATTCTTTCCTTATTTTTCCGTGTTTCTTCTTGATTGAGATTGCTGTGGCTTATGTTGCGGGTCGCTGGCTGCACTCATATATGGGTATATTATATTTCGATTGCTTTTTGTTCTTTGTTGGGATTGGCAATTTGCTTTTCCGGGAACATTCTTTGTGATTACAAAGTCTCAACTGCAGTTGGAAAAGCCATATCAAAATTATTCATAACATTCCTTTCTGTTCTGTTTCAGGCATTGAGTATCTGGTAGAGAACAGACTGCTGCGTCACGATGCTCAGGATGTGGCGCATTTCCTATACAAGGGCGAGGGTCTAAATAAAACGGCCATTGGTAAGATAAACTTAAACTCACCTTGATTTTGTGGCGTTAGCCAAAACGAGAGGCGAAAAAATCAATTATACGCACTGAAGAAATACATTTTAATGGCCTTCTCTTTTCCAGGCGATTACCTTGGCGAAAAGAACGACTTTAATGAGGATGTTCTGAAGGCCTTTGTGGCACTCCACGATTTCACCAATCTCATTTTGGTGCAAGCCCTCAGGTAGGTCCCCAACACCCACTTGTAATTACCACTTTCGCTAATGGCATTTTCCCCTCCACTTTTTACAGACAATTTCTGTGGTCGTTTCGCTTGCCCGGCGAGGCACAAAAGATCGATCGAATGATGGAGACCTTTGCCCAACGCTATTGCCAACTGAATCCGGATATATTTACCAACACGGATACCTGCTATGTGCTCAGCTTCGCCATTATAATGCTCAATACTTCGTTGCACAATCCATCGGTAAGTACACAAACACAAACGTTAATTAAAAAAGAGATGACCTTAAAAATATAGAGATGATCATCGGGTACTTAAAATGAATGGATAATTTAGATACGTTAAAAAAATACGTTTAGAATTCTAAAATTATAATTCTTGGCACCCACTTTTTGTGCTCCAATATTTTTCTGGCAAACCGGATGTTAGGAAGCTTCTCCAACTCACGATGCGTGCCTAGGATTGGCCCATCAACTGTGAAATTAAATTTCAAATTTTGCAGGCTGTCAGCGCGTTATTTTCGAGAACGAAACCATTTACTTCCGCATTTTCCCAATGCATTTACTGTGGCCCCAGAGACTCTGGGTGTGCGTCCTCCGATCTTGAGAGCAATTGCTAATTGCTATAAATAGGGAGAATTGAGAAATTTAAAGTTCTAAATTTCTGATTTTGTGATTTTCATACGTACGCTGCTTATTTTCTTGTTTTGGCACGAATACTTTACTGTGAGTTCTCTTGCTTACCTTTGATTTCGCTTCGTTATCGACAGGTCAAAGACAAACCCACCGTTGAGCAATTCATTTCGATGAATCGTGGCATAAACAACGGCGGAGATTTGCCCCGAGGCCTGCTGGAGTCCCTCTACGAGTCCATTCGAACGGAGCCATTCAAAATACCCCAGGACGATGGCAATGATCTAATGCACACCTTCTTCAATCCCGACAAGGAGGGCTGGCTGTGGAAGCAAGGCGGCAGGTGAGTTGATAACTAATGCCATTAGTTGATTATTGCCTGACTAACGAACTGCTTTTATTTTTCTGAAGATACAAATCGTGGAAACGACGTTGGTTCATTTTGAACGACAATTGCCTATACTATTTTGAATACACTACCGATAAGGAGCCGCGCGGCATTATACCCTTGGAAAACATATCCGTGCGCGAGATTCACGACCGTAGCAAACCGCACTGTTTTGAGCTGTTCGCTACTGGCGGTGCTGACATCATCAAGGCATGCAAGACGGACTCCGAGGGCAAGGTGAGTACTTTGCTTTAAGAAGTCTAGATTAAAAGCTAATTAATTTCTTTTTCCTTATTTTAGGTGGTGGAGGGCAAGCATACGGTGTACCGCATGTCCGCTGCCACGGAGGAAGATCAGCAGGAGTGGATCAAGCGCCTGACTCAGTCCATTAGCGACAATCCGTTCCATAACATCCTAGTACAAAGAAAGAAAAAGGCGCTCAGCAAGAGTTAATATTAACACGGCGCAACTTTTGTCTTGGATCTCAGTGAAATTCTGCTATGCGTGTGTGGCTGCTCTCTCCCCCTATTTAAACAAGTGCATATTCAAATCCTAGATTATATAACTTAAACTTTGTGTGCGTGTGACAGTTTCCATGTTGAACCAATGCCTGTAATTTGTTCACTTTGTGGTTTGCCCCTGTGCCCGATTATGTCCTTGTATTCTGTTTGGTTGACTCGAAACAAGCCATTACACGCTGACGCACTTCGAACCACAAACTTTGTCTCTATTGTTGTGATATAATTTATTTACATTAAGCATTAACAATATGAATGATATGAAAAAGATGAAAAATAACTGAAAATTGCATCAATAAGAAATACAAATTTATACACATTTTCATTAGTTCAAATTTTTATATAGTTTCATTATAGACGTAACTATACGAATATGTCTCCAAATTAGCGTTTACCACCTAAGTTGTCCCACCACCCTCATTATAGAATTCGTTAGTGCTATGAAACATATCCCAACCGCCAAAAGCTGTTGGAGCGCTGAAGTTTTTGTATATGGTTTTTTGATGCAAATGAAATAGCATTCAAATTTTGCGTGGCAATTATTGTGGAGCCAATTGAATAAAATTTGTGCAAGCTAAACAACAACCTTTTTAAGATCATAAAGCTCATTCTAACAACGAATGAAATGTGTAACAAGTATAACTGTCGAATTAACAGATCCAATACATAAATGCATTTGAAAAACCAAACTAAGTTTATAGTTAACCAAAGATCGGATTTAAACTATTAATACAAAATGCCAATTTCCCATATTTTAAAAAATATTTTTTGTCATTTTAAAAGAATGTGTAAAATGCATTTTATATGGAGTTTGTTAATTTGAATAGTAAGAAACGAGACAACCGCAAAGTGTTCCAGCCAAAGTTAAAATCACATTTAATACATTTTGGAAAGTATGTCTATAACCAGCACGCTGATATAAAATGTCTAAACAGATAATGGAAGCAGTTCTAAAGATCTGTAAATAAGAACTCGGTTAACGGCATTAATCTTATGAAAGCTATATGTAAAAGTAGACTTTATGTTGGGCCTCTGTGATACCATTGATGAGTAGGAGCTCCTAGCAGATCCTATGCGGTTTGTTTTGTTTCGAGACTGAGGGATAAACTTTATTACATCACATTTAATTGTCATTTTCCCAACTTGCCTTGATTGTCAATGTTAACTGACTTATTTGCGTATGGTTTGATTTTCCAATTGGGACTTGTCATACAAATTATTTTGAAACAGGAGTCCCAAACATTTTTGCAATATTATAAATAATTAAGCTAGCCCTGTATATTTACACTATTGTCTTTATTATCAAATAAATATGAATGTATTATATCTTATGTTACTTTTAATCGAATGTACATACATAACAAATTAATAAGAGTACATTTTGTCGATGAGGTTCTTTATGTTTTATAAAAAGCTTGTCCTATTTGGACAGTTAATTGAATTGAATTTAGGTGTAGCGTACGCCTGTGAATACGTGCGTTATAGAATTTATAAAAAACAAGATAAACAGTTTGTACATATTGTCAAAATAAATGGATGTTTAATGAATAAGTATGCCAATAAATAATAGTGTAGTTTAGAATTTTGTATTGCTTTAATAGTAACATGAACAGATTATTATATATAAATTATATTTAAACATCAAATAAATATTAAAAAAGTTTATTAAAAAATCAAAATAATACTTTTACATATTTAACTTGGAACAAAGAAAACAGATTTAAAACTTTATAACAGCTTTACAGCTTATTTCGGCAAAATGAAAAACAAACAAGAAAGGAAGCAAACTTCGGGAAGCCAAAGTTTATATACCCTTGCAGTTATTACAACTCGACTACAATTTGATTTCTATGCCTATTACTAAAAACAATGAAACTATGTTGCTTTTGAGCTGCACTTTGCCACCGTTTGTATGGAAGCCATATGATATTGTTTTCCGATTTTAATTGAATTAATTTAATTACCAAATCCCAAAAAACAAAAACAACAAAGTTATAATTTTTTAGAATTTTTTCCGATTGTTCCTATGGGAGCTATATGATATAGTCGCCCGATCCGATACCTGCAATAGAAAGACAACTTTTGGGAAAGTTTCAAGCAGATAGCTTTAAAACTGAGAGACTAGTTTGCGTAGAAACGGACGGTCAGACAGACGGACATGTCTAAATTGACTCTCCTGGTGATGCTAATCAAGAATTTATTTACTTTATAGGGTCGGAAATGTTTCCTTTGTGACCGAGATGCAGCAAACGACATCGAAAATAGGTTATTGTTTAAAATATATTAAACAATTGTAAATAAGAACCGAGATGCCCACTTCAATTAAACGACAATCACTTCGGGGTCACCAAAATGTTTATGGGGAAGACAGCCAAAATGCCACAATTGAGTTTAGAAATAGAAATTAACGCACGATACGTTCAATAAAATATATTCCGTGATTTTTTTAGCCTGCGCTCGGAGTTGCAGCGATTCTGTACTTCCACTATCCGAAAGCTTGGCTTCAAAATATATACATGTTTTTGCAGCAGCTTTAGCTGAATATGTAGATGTAGAGAGATAAGCAATGCGATGAATAACTGCAATATAAAACAAGAAAGGAAAGCTAACTTCGGGCGGAGCCGAAGTTGATATACCCTTGCAGAATACTCTGTAAATTATATTTTCCAAAATTATTCATATGATGCATTCTTAATACTCATAAAAAATCCCAACTTCGTAACTTTAAAAACACCAAAGTTATGGCATTTCCGATCAATCAGTTATATGGCAGCTATAGGATATAGTCGGTCGATCCTTATGAAGTTTGGTAGGTCGGATTGATTGGCCAAAAATAAAACCCATAGAAAATCCCAACTTCCTAACTTTACAAACACCAAAGTTATGGCATTTCCGATCAATCAGTTATATGGCAGCTATAGGATATAGTCGGCCGATCCTTATAAAATTTGGTACGTCAAATTGATTGGCCAAATACAAAACACATAGAAAATCCCAACTTCCTAACTTTACAAACACCAAAGTTGTGGCATTTCCGATCGTTCAGTTATATGGCAGCTATACTATATAGTCGGCCGATCCTTAAAAAATTTGGTACGTCAAATTGATTGGCCAAATGTAAAACCCATAGAAAATCCCAACTTCCTAACTTTAAAAACACCAAAGTTATGGCATTTCCGATCGTTCAGTTATATGGCAGCTATAGGATATAGTCGGCCGATCCCGGCCGTTCCGACTTATATACTGCGTGCAAAGGAAAGAAGGGTGTGTGCAAAGTTTCAATTCGATAGCTTTAAAACTGAGAGACTAGTTTGCGTAGAAACAGACAGACGGACAGACGGACAGACGGACAGACAGACGGACAGACGGACAGACGGACAGACGGACATGGCTATATCAACTCAGGAGGTGATCCTGATCAAGAATATATATACTTTATATGGTCGGAGATGTCTCCTTCACTGCGTTGCACACTTTTGACCAAAATTATAATACCCTCTGCAAGGGTATAACAAGAGAGAACGCTATAGTCGGGTGCCCCGACTATCAGATACCCGTTACTCAGGTAAAGGGAGTGCGAGGGAGATGGAGATAGAGATAGAAACTTTGATCACGCATAACTTTTTAACGAATGGTCCGATTTGAAAAATTTCTTCTACATTTCGATAGGTATTGATAAACACAATAAAACTGCATTTTTACTTTTCCGAAATATTTAAATTTTTAAAATCGTATATAAGCGATTGTGGGCGTTAAAGGGGGCGTGGCACCATTTTGAAACAAACTTGCGCTGCGTAGGAACTTCTAAAATCTACATGCAAAATGCCAATCTTCTAGCTTTTATAGTTTCCGAGATCTCAGCGTTCATACGGACAGACAGACAGACAGACGGACAGACGGACAGACGGACAGACGGACAGACGGACATGGCTAGATCGACTCGGCTAGTGATCCTGATCAAGAATATATATACTTTATAGTCGGAAACGCTTCCTTCTAGCTGTTACATACTTTTGCACGAATACAATATACCCTTTTACTCTACGAGTAACGCGTATAACTATATAAGAGCGCTGCCTGTAAAGCGCACACCTATGAGCATTTGACTAGGTGCTGGTCCAAACAGCATATACTCGTACGTACATATACATATGTACGCATGGGTAATGTTTAGCTGTGAGTTTTTCCCAGCATTTAAGAATGCTTGCTTGCCACTCTTAAATAAAAAATGAAGACTCCAAATTTGTCAGTATTTAATATTATTCCACATTTGTTTTAAATTCTTAGAATATTTCGGCAATGTTCATATCCTTGCAATATAATATTATGGGATTGGCGCATATGTATGGATGTGAGGCTGCGTTAGAGTGTTAACATGTCTGTTTGTGTATGTGTGTGTTTAACATTGGTTACGGTTGCATTTACTTTAATGGGTTTACTATTAATAACTTTCACTTAACAGCATAAATATTTATTTACGCATTTAAAATTCGCTGGATTTGCTGTCTCGCTTACTTTTTCCAATGAAAATATTTAAACTATAGTGTTAGCAGCTAACACGCTGCAATATTTTTGTATTGTTTAATTTTATGTTAATGCTTACAAAACAATTTGTTCATAAAAAAACTAATTACAAATAGGCGTAAATATTTATTCCACATAGTTTTCTGTTAATAAAATTACATGGCGTGCCTTTAAATGAAAGGTTGATTTAGGGTCGAATTTGATTTATTTACAATATCCTTAGTGGTAAATTGATAAATGCAAAACAAGGGTTAAATTAGTGCTATAAATTGACGATGGAATAGTCAAAGGTGCATCTCGATACGGTTACCTATGTATCTGTCTTTTCCTATATGTACATATTAATATTCAGTTTTTGTTCACAAGGTAACAGTGCGGTTTTGTTTTTTTTTGCGTCATGCTGCTCTTACAAATGTAATACAAGCTTTAATAGGCTTCGCTATTTCAGCTGATTAATTTAAGTTTAATGCTATTCGGAAATATTTGCTAAAACATTTCAACTACTTTTTGGGGGCCATTAAAGTCAGTAATAAATCAAATCATACTTAATGAACACACTCCTAAACCTTTACTTCCAATTTTGGCTATGTTACTTTATCCTAAACTTTATTTTTTTTGTAGCGCCATTTTTCCTGACTTTATTTTTGACTCGGAATCATTTGACATGCATTCAATTTTTGAGGCGTAGTGAAAATTTAATCTAGTCGCTTGCTGCTGAAATATGTATTACTTCAGAGTCATTAATGTTTTAAGGATTTAATTGCTTAAAGCAAAGCTGTTGCCATTGAAATGTTCACAAACATTACGGTCTTGTTGTTTGTCGATTAATTGGTAAGCATACAAATTGTTAGATCTGTCCAAGGCTCCTGCCAATTTGTATGCTTACTTCGGATCCAAATGTCATGTCTATTTTAACACTTGATGGGGTAGGAAAATTTTTTATAAATTAAACCTATGGTTTTCTTTTAGGTTGCAAACGTTTCAAAGGTGTTAAAGTGTAACCAGTTCCAACAACAATTTCCATATAGAATATTTTGCCAGGCAAACAATTTGTATAGAAATTGTTTATTAGTGGATACAGCTAAAATACTAAAAATATAATACAAATACCAGGAAAAATCCCAATTTGAAGCTTATGAACTCGCAAGTAATTTTTGTTGTCTTATTTTTCGTGAACAACTTTTGAAATCCTTGTAAATGCTTTTCTTCAGCGATAAAGGTATGTGAACACCAATGAATCTGTGATGCAACGCGGTTTTTGATTTGGATTTTTAGCGTGTGGTTGGGGTTATCTAGAATCGACATTCTTTACAATCTAGAGTCTATGAATTTGCGGCCTATATATTTAGTATTTAATACAAATTCCCAACATTGATAGCCAACTTGTGCCACTTAACGCTGACGAAGATATTGCGGACAAAAGGGGCATATTTTTACATGTGTATGTCAATTTTATTGATGTTAAGAATTTGTTCTCCAAATATTCTTCAACACGTAAGCAGTACCAAAAAAATTAAATTTCAACCAACGATTTAAAAATAAAGTCGATCGTTATTTTCGTCACTTACACTTACAATTTCTAAACATTTGCAACTTAAACTAATACCAAAAATGTTTTTTTAAATCGATCAAATATATCTAGATAGTGCTTGGCCTGGACTCAATACAAAATCATAGGCAATTCGTGTTAGTCTGGGTGTGGCTGACAATACATACATATGGATAAGTTTAACTTTATATCGTTCTATAGTTCGTTAGATTTATGGTACTTAGAGTAATTGCTTGCAGAATTCGTAAATTTCTCGCTCATTTGGTAGGCCGCAGCGGAGCTAATGGAATATATATTGATTCGGCTGCTGCTGTTTCTGCTGGCAGGATCCGCAGCACTTCTCCTTGTAGCGATGCAGTCTACACAGGCCCATGGAGCGGGCATTGCGGCAGTAGCGGGAGGAATCGCGACAGTGCGAGGGGGCCGGGGAAGACGCTGCAGAGGGGCAAGTGGAAACGTTAGCAGGTAGACTACTTTTAAGGAATAGTGGAGAACTTAAATACAATTGAGAAAAGAAGACACTATTTTGTATGCAAACTCATAAGTAGTAAATTCTTTCGCTCATAAATGTTTTCTTTTTAAAAATTTATTTTAGACGGTGCAACACAAATTACTTAAAAATGTGTTGCTCTTTGAATGTGTGGCTCCATTCTGGTTAGTTTTCTCATTTTTCGATAGCTACAAGTGTCTAGAATATCATATTAAAATGGCAAATCGAAATACGTAATAGTATAAAAGTTATGAGCCTTCGAGTCGACCGACCCAAAGCAGGTAGGGAGCGTACATAAAACTTTAAACGAGTTTTCTGGAAAACCACATTTTTCGAGCTGGCGACTGTTTTTTTTTTAAGTACGCGTAATTAAATTTTCCATGGAATGGACTATATCTACATCAGTAAAAACTTTTTTATCAGTAAAACGACACTAAATTTTTTAAACGCCGTCATTTTGTTATTTTTATTCAATTACTATAAAAGTAGTTTATTCAATAATTACACTCCTACTAAGGAAGAAAATTTTTGAAACAAAAAAGTTTCAGAAGATTTTTACGACCTGTAAAATAGTTGCCAGTGGGGTTCCTGTTTCCTGCATTGGCCCACGTCGCCAATGATTTTTACAAAATCATCTTTCAAATATCAAAAAATATTCCTGTAAAGTTTGAAGTACCAATGTTTTATTCTTTGTCCAAAAAAAATTCTGAATATTGCCTATTTTTTGACACAACTAACCAGAATGGACCCTTAAACACTTTGTTACTGGAGAACCGGCAGTCGATACTCACACTTGGCCTGGCAGGGCGGACTTTTGCAGACCTTCATGACCGCTGGGCGGGGTTGGTGCTTGCACACATTGCCCGCTGGCCGGCGACTGCCGTACCAGACGCACTGCAGGATGCGGTACTTGATGCCCTGGCGCCCGCACGGCGCATTGCACTGCGGGGGAGAGGGGAGAAAGGGGGAGAAATGAGTGTGTGACCCAGGGAGGAAGCGAATCAGGACTCACCTCAGACCAGGGCTCCACGCGCCACACACCCTTGCAGCGCTCGTTGTAGCAGTCCTGCCGCATCGCCGGCCGCTCGTACTCGTCGCAGGCTCTGCCCACAGTGCCGTTGTCGTAGCGACAAGTCACCTCGCGGCGCTGCACGGCCGTGTTCCTGCCGTGGCAGCGGGACCGCTTGCAGGGCGACCACTCGGCCTTGCTCCACTGCGGACAGACCTCGTTGCCGCAGCTCTGGAACGGGTCGGGCAGGACCAGTCCGTGGGCGGTGCACTCTGAATTGTCGACGACATCGTTTTCAGTGTCCTCATCTACGCCGCTGCTGGAGCTCCTGTCCTTCGCCAATCGCTCGCAGCGCACCGTGCGTCGCTAGGGAAGTGCAGGGAAAAAGTAAGCAGGATTCGTAAGTAATTTCGGTATTCCACCCACACGTACAACGAGCGGCATTAAGGCTGAGTCGCCAAAGGTCCCCGACTGTTAAAATATTTAGACCTGCTCTTGATTTCATGGGCCCTTTGGAGCCGAGATTCAGAGTCCTGTGCATTTGACTAATTATTGCTTAAATGTCGCTGGCTGCCTGGGGTCTCATTTCTTTTTCGCTTTTTCGCTTTTATGATATTATGTTTGCTTTGGTGATAAATCGAGCGAGGGCTTTTTTGAAAAGTTTAATAATTTGTATACTGAAGTAAAAGAATTTAAGATGTGCTTAACAAAGCCCTTAATGATTTCGATTCGAAAGACTACCCCAGTTCTTCAAAATAATGGTTTAAAAGTAGTTATTATAATCTGAATTGTATATTCTTTTTACTTTACTTTTAGATAAACCAAAAAATAATTTTCTCCCCCAAATGGTTAAATTACCAAAACGAATTCACAAAAGCTTCCAGGTGTTAGTAAAAAACGGAAATGGAAAACCCAGCTACAAAAAAATCTTGGCCTAACGCCATGTTATTTCGTGAAAATTTTGTATGAAATTGCAGTCGCTCGTGGACAAAGTATTTAAAAAGCTTAAGAAACAAATTTTCGAGCCTTAATAAAATTAAAATAACCATATTATAAAAGTTGAATTCAATTCAAAACTGTGAAAGCAGAGAAGTTTATAATAAACCTAAATAAATATTTAATTATTAGTCTTTATAGTTTCTATGATTTACGAGAATTCTTTGGGACAACATTATTAACATTACGCATATGTACCTACAAGCCAATGAAAAATTTAGACTGAAGCATAACCACCTGGTATCAAGTTTTAATTAAGGTCAATAAAGTCAAGTTATAAGTTATATATATACCAAGGGAGGTTTTAAAAAAATTGTAATTTAGAAAGGTGTTATAGGCTCTTTAGTGACTGACCAGTTCAATTTGTATCTGACAACCTATTCCTGGCATTGAATGATTCCATGTTCACAAATCAGGCCCCATTTTGGCCCCAGCAACCACTTTACTCACCTGCAAACCGCTGCCAGCTGCTCCACATTCCTGCGAGCACTTGGACCACTCGCCCAGCAACCATTTGTACAAGAAGCCGCCGCTTTCAAGGCTCGGCACCGCCGTTGTCGTGGTTACCGCTGCAGTTTCCCATCGAGCGTGCGGCATGTGGGGCATGATGTCCTCCGCCTCCGCCTCCGCCTCGGCTTCCGCCCGCCCCTCGCCCTCCCGGTGGGAATCGGTGCGAACGGGTCCTACCTCGGTGTGCAGCTCCTTGGTCAGGACACGCATCGGCTCGTCCTGCTCGAAGTGAGTGCCTTCCAAATCGAGGCCGTACTTGAGCGCTTCGCCTTGGAGCATGTGCTGGCCACGGGAGTCCTTGAAGCGCTGCAGCGGCCATAGCAACTGTGGGCGGGAGAATCGTTAGCCTCCCCATTCGAAAAGTCACACATGCATATGCAACTCAGGGCCCAAGCCGGTCTTGTTTGTTGTTCGATATGCCGGGCTAAACTTCAGTGCTCAGCGGCCACTGCGTTTCCGCTTCCGTTTCCGCTTTCCTAACAACCATCTCATCCTTCTGCCTCGCATGCATAGGTATGGATACATATGTACAAACTAGGTGGGATGTTTCATGCATGCACACTTGAATTACCCTCATCAATCGCTTCACGTTGACTGACTACGAACTGTCGAATCCGATTAGCCACCGAACCCACGAACAGCATCCCCCACGCCCATCCCCGCGTCCCTTGACCCAACATCCGCCGCCTAGTTTCCCCTTTCTGCGAGCTGCGAAAATTTGACTACCAAATGCCGAGGTGGGTTTTTCTGCCGAAAATTCTCTTTCAGCCGGCAATTTCGGTTTGTTCAATTCCACGTAGCTGGTGGGAAAAGCATTTTTTTTGTGGGCACTTTTAAATCCCTACTGCATATGTTGGTATATGAACTTTCTAATGGCAAACTAGAAAACTATTAAACATATGTATGCCTGTTTGAGGTATAAACGTGTATTTTGAGGTGCATAATCTTTATATGTTTAAAATTACTATTACTTTTGAGTTAACATTTTTGTATCTCAGATAATTATTATTATTTTTATTTTTTGATCAAAAATTTTGATTAATGATTTAATTAATATTGCTGAGGAATATTATTAGGAGTAGAAATTTAAAAATCACGACGGATGTGGATAGATTCACAATGGTGCCTTTTTTCTTTGCCTATGTGAACACGGATAAATTGACCCTATGTGAATTTAATTCTTTCGTTGATGTTGTTTCTAAAGGAGTTTTTTTGATTAAAAAAACATTTCGATAGCCATTTCTGGAAGTCCCTGGTATATTCTATTATTTTAAATTGTATTTATTTTGAATAGTCTTTTTATCACAGTTAGTTTTACAATAGTGATCTCTTTAAAGGATCGACGAAACTTAAAAAAAAATAGTTTTAATAAGTAAACTCGTTTACTCCACTTTTAACAATGCACTCAGATTAATCTTTGAACCGAAACAAGTCGAACGACATCGTAAATTTAATTTTGCCAATGTCGTGCCGTCTCATAATTTCGTGTGTGGCATGAGTCTCCGACCTGATCCCAAAAATTGTCCCTTGCACTGTGGCTCTGTGGGCATTGCCCCTCACAGATGCCTCCGAACTTATTGTCAAACACTATGGTTCTGCCAACGTCACCGTCATTCCTCTGGTCGTTTGCATTTACAGCTGCCCAGAGCCAATGCCGCAGCAGGATTTGGTAGGAGGGTCTGGTTGGGCTGTGGCTGGAATCGAGTTGGAGGCACACAAAGATGATTTCCCAAGTGCCACTTGAAACCGACAAATGCGCTTGCATAGTTTCTGTTGTTTCTGCATTGTTGGCTGCATCTGCTGCGCTTTTATTTGCCGCCCCCTTTGTCATTTGTTAGCCAACAAGAGCGGGGAGCGGGGTGCGGGGAGCGACAATGACAATGACGCCTCCATTGGCTTTTATTGTTGTCACCGCAATCGGAATCCCTGCCTCTTGTTCCTGCCGTTGCTGCTTGGCTCTTGTCAATATTGCAGCATTTTCAAGGGGCCACAATTGGAATTTTCGGGGCCTGTTCGCCAGGCGAACCCAATCCTCCTATGACTATTGCCATGCGTTCTGCCTGTGCAACTTTAATTAGCAAACAGTTCTTGCCCTGATTTTGCCAAACAAAGCAGGCAGATTATTGTTTTAACATTTAATGGCAATTCGGTAGATACATAGACCGGAAGTGTGGTGCCAGTTTCTGCTGAATAAATTGAAGTTCCTCTGCACTAAGAGGACTCATCATGCTGAAGTTAAGTCAAAGCTCCTTGCAAAAACATTTAATACTTGTAACTTGTTTTCCAGTAATCGTAAATTTAATTTTAGGAAAAGAAAGTAAGTAAGAAAGTAATTCTTTCAAAGGCTGTAAATCAGACCTCAATTTAGCTGGAAATTATAAACTACATAATGTGTCATCCTAGTTCTAGTTTCAATTTTCTCGTTCATCGTTTGATGGTAGATGCTAACCAAATCTAACATGTAATACTTCGGAGATATGTACATTAATATATGTGACTTTGAGGGTTAATAATTTGCTAAAGTTTCAAAGAACTTCCATGCCGACCAGCATTTTTATACCCGTTACTCGTAGAGTAAAAGGGTATATTGTATTCGTGCAAAAGTATGTAACAGGTAGAAGGAAGCGTTTCCGACCATATAAAGTATATATATTCTTGTTCAGGATCACTAGCCGAGTCGATCTAGCCATGTCCGTCTGTCCGTCTGTCTGTCCGTCTGTCTGTCCGTCTGTCTGTCCGTCTGTCTGTCCGTCTGTCTGTCCGTCTGTCTGTCCGTCCGTATGAACGCTGAGATCTCGGAAACTATAAAAGCTAGAAGATTGGCATTTTGCATGCAGATTCGCCCCCTTTAACGCCCACAATCGCTCATATACGATTTTAAAAATTTAAATATTTCGGAAAAGTAAAAATGCAGTTTTATTGTGTTTATCAATACCTATCGAAATGTAGAAGAAATTTTTCAAATCGGACCCTTCGTTAAAAAGTTATGCGTGATCAAAGTTTCTATCTCCATCTCCCTCGCACTCCCTTTACCTGAGTAACGGGTATCTGATAGTCGGGGCACCCGACTATAGCGTTCTCTCTTGTTTGCATTCAATACATTCAGCATGGACTCATTAGCGAGTTTTGCCAGCACACACAGCTTACATTGGACCTCGCACATCGTTAAATTCTCACGCCTGACAGGCGAACCCAACGCTGTCGGAGACAGACCTTAACCAAAACCGAACCGAAGTAAACCCACCAGAACCGAGATCCCACCAAACCAAGCCAAACAGAAACAAACCACGAAACTGTGCAGTTTTCCACTGAAATGTGTGTCATTTCATTTAAATTAAGTTTCAATGTTCCCAGCAATATGCGTTGCTGGCGGATAAATAAATACAAGTGCTTCCAGAGCGCGAAACAAAAAGAAAATGTAGCGAAATTACAGCAAATGGCATGGAGTTTAAGTGGAGCGCGGCTAAAATGCCTCGGAGGCCGAGACCAGCGGATGCTGCATCCTACATCCTGCAGCCTCACATCCTGCCATTAATAAATAGTTGGAATCAGCATTAAAAGCCAGCCAATGGCAGCGCATTTTGCTTGTTTTAAATCATTTTCGCCCGACATGACGAATATGTGGCAATATATATCAGCAGGCCAACCGCCAAAGGGGCGTGGATATTTATTATCGCGCTTTGGCGCCCCTCAGAACCTAAAACCAGAGCCAAACAAACACAACCCCACATAAATTTTACGTTTGGGGCGAGTAAAAAGAAATAAGTGGTTTGGAATGGGCCTAACATAATATAATTAATAGGCCAAATGTTAGGTCATAAATTATGGCCGCCAAAAGACGAATCCGAACTGCAATTACTTAGCTAATTAGGAGTGCAAAAGGCAAACTAAACCCTACTCTGTCCGGTTAAACTAACTAGCGCTGTTTAATGATTGCCATGATTGAAATGCATTGTCCTGTCCATGCAATAATTTCCATTCTGAGAGCTAATCAATGAAATAATTCAGGAGCCAGCCCAGTAGCCATAGATATCCGGAATGTCGGCTTTATTGGCAAGAGGATGCCGGCACAGAGCTGCTAATGAGCAGCTCTCGAAGGCCCGCAGGCAACAATGCAATTAAATACAAGTGGCCAGGACTGGCATTCATAGATATCCGCTCGGGAGAAGAATAGAAGACCAGTTCATAAAGGACGACAAAGCTTCGATGAAGAGCCTAACACTTTGGCCTGAAAGTGAGTGGCTTGGTTCGCCGAATAGTTTGAATGTGTTCGGATAGATGATGTGCTTAAGGATACCATATTGTGAGAGATTTAATCAGCTCAGCAGGTAAATAATAATCTTAATCCTATTAAAGCACCAAATTTACATTCAACTGCTTAGGCATAAGCTTTTGCATACCTTGAAACACTCAAGAAATGCAACGGTTACTGTTAAGGAAGTGCAATTCCCGTTGAACAAAGCAAGCTCATTGCATAGGCAATTAATATATAACATGTATAGTAATAAACCAGATATAAGAATAAGATTTACCGAAACTCGAACACCAGGGAAGGTGCAGAAGTTGTACTCTTCTATTATAAAATCCTATATATAGATGTTCCCTTGCATCGTGTCGAGGAAGAAAATTTTAGAAAATGTATCCGTTGTAATTGAAAGCTTTTTTTTCCGCTTAACCAACCGGTTAATCAAAAAGAGGTTTTTTAGTTTATGCTGAAAAGAAGAGACGCTATACCCGTTACTTAACTACCCAATTTTAAAATAAATGTGCTGATGGCGCATTTTGAAAATGTTAGGTAGCGCCAACTGGCGGAGGGCAGTGCTAACACCGCAAGCTGAGAGCGAGTAGCACTGCCCCTCCCTGCCCCACAGTTTTCGTGCTCTTTTCCGCTCACTCAATTATATGAATCCCCATTTCAAATATACAGTTACGTCATTACTAACACTTAATATGTCCTAAAATCTCAAAGTAAGAAGTATCGATATATATTGGCCGAATAATTTTTTTTATAACAGGACTTTACGAGGTCTCTAAGTGTATTGACTGGTCGAAAAGCCTCATCAGCCTCATATAATCAAACATAATCAAGCAGACACATATGTACGCTTATTTCATGTTTGTGTAAATAAATCCTATTAAACCGCACTTGGACTACATAAGCTAATGCCAACACCTTAGAGCCAATCAGGATATTAGCATATAAGTATTAGAAATAATTAGTTTGCGTGAAGCTCCAAATGCAAATATTAACAAAATAACGAATTTCCGCGCACTTCGCATTGCTCATAACGTATGACTTTAGCATGCTTTTATGGAGACTAAATGAAATGCAAATACAATAAATATTAAATAATTATGAGAAATTATTATTATGAGACAGAAGGCGCATGTGGGTGGCGTAAAAGTTAATCAAAGTGCCTCAAACTTTCGACCCAAATTGTTTTATATTCGCCCGGTACAAAAATCTAGGGCAGTTGGCATATGCGAATATGCGGCTCTGAAACCAATGCATATTTTTAGCGGTTTGCCTGTTGGTGGCTCACCACGAGAATGTGCACGAAATACTGGCAAAATTACTCATAATCACTGCCTCCATTTGGCTGATTCTATGTGGGTGGGGGTTGCAATTTTCCGGTAACTAGATTTGATAAATGCCGCCTGAAAGTGCCGCCGTATCACAAGACTGAAGATGCGTTTTGGGGTTAGTCTGCCAGATCCTGCGCCTCGCCTGGACGGGCATCATAAATTACTTTTGCCTAATCTGCATACTGCGGTGGAAGCGTCTGCACAACTTTGCCAGCAGTTTGGTTTTCCCTCGGTTTGTGTGGTAATATTTTGTTTTACCCTTTCGCCAATATTTTTTGTGAAATGTTTTTCCACTATATATAATATATATATACAGTAGAATCCGGTTATAGCGACATTCAAGGGATCGACGATCTTACGTCGTTATACCCGTATCATTTAAGTTTGTATGGGGACCAACCAAGCCATAGAATTTTCGTCGCAATAACCGGACGGACACTATAAGCGGAGTCGTTATAACCGGATTCTACTGTATATATATTTTAAATAAATATAAGATTAAAAACCTTAATTTTTTTTTGGTTGGTAAAATTTCTGGAAGTGTAAATCAACCACATTTTTCTTAAAACTACGTTTTTGACAGTTCCCCAAGTTCTTTGTACATATTTAATATGACAATATCTATTAATAATAACCCTTCTAGAGTCTTGACTAATTTTAAAAACTAAAGAAGGATACAAATTATAGATTTTTTTTATTTTCCTTAAAGTTGTACCAAACAGTAACATTTTTTTTTCCTTTTTGTTCCATATTTAGTTACTTATTTTGTTTCAGATAAGAAATTTAAGAAATCTTTCACCAATTATAATGGTGCGTGGCTCTTTATTTTTTATTACCAAAAATATATATTTTGATGTAGTAACAATAGGTATGGAAAAACTCATGTTTCCAACACCGCCTTTAAGATGCGCGGAGCAAAGCAAATCGTTAATTGAATAGGAATTTTTTTAATTAGTTTAAGGGACTTACAAAAAATGGAACACTTATCACTGTCCTAATTAGATACAGCGACTTAGTAGGAAATATTTTAAATTCTATTAATGGATTGCATAGAAAACGAATAACCCCACCTATTAACGTTCCCCGACCTTGGTCCATTTTTATTTTTATTTATTTATTTTTTTTGCAATATAAATTGCAGGTAGAAAAACGCGATTTTGCTAAGTTGAACATGATTTAAAGCAGGGGTCATTTACTGTTTACTTTTTATCTAAAAGTTATTGTTTTGACTCTATATACATAACTATGATGCTGTAAAAAGGGAGATTGACAAAGTTACAGGGGACCGAAAGGGTAGAAATAACGTTGCCCAGTGTGGTACAGAAAAACTTTAAAATGTATAAAAAAAAAGTTTATAAAAAATACCAAATTGTTTGATGTGTATATAAAAAGGCTTGTATATCTGAATTTTACGAAACTTTCTAGGACAGTTGACGACAAGAGTGGCACTTACCTAACCAGCATATAGAACAACAAAAAGACCATTGAAAAGCTTGCTGCCCTTTTGGAGTAAATATTATTTGTTGGATTTAAATGATTAACTCAATTTTGAGTATATGTAGACAATAAGTATATAGATATGGATTATAGATAAATTTATAACATCAGTCTTTATCGTGCAATGAACCAGCGAGAGTAAAGCAAGTGTTCCGTTTTTATACTCGTAAATCAAAATTAAATGAATTGTTATATCGAAAAAGTGAATGGGACCCAAAAACTATTACAAAATACATTAACAATAATTAAATGAATAACAGTTACAAGTTTTACGAAAAAAGTAATCGATGAGTACTGGATATTTGCAAAAAATATAAATTGAAGTAAATATTTTTACTTTTTACTTTTTACTATTTAAAAAAAATATTTTTTCTCTTAAGTTGACTGTTTTGTGAAACCTTTAATTCATTTCATATGAATATAAATTAAAACAAACTTTTATTTTACTGAGATTAAATTTAGAATTGTATTAGTGGAATACACCTGATTTGTTTGTTGTCATAAAAATATAAAATCATAATAAAATGCACCCTGTTTAATTTGTCAATTTAAAATATATTCACTGCCCAAATAAACAAACACACTTTCGAAAACAGCAGCAGGCAAATTTGTATGCACATGTTCGTATATTTAGTTCAAATAATTAATTGTGCGCTCTCCGCCAATTTTCAGCCTTTAACTTAGAAACATGCATATTTTAGACTACTTCGAATTTTGCGCATTTGTTTGGGCTGAGCTTAAACTGCTTTTAACCTATAATTCCAATTATCGGCTTATTTTACAATGTATAAATTGCATACAAAAAACCAGAAAATAATGACTTTATTGGCGAACGCGCAAAAAGTTGCCGGAGGGCGGTACCAAGAGGAAGAGGATAAGTTTTACACAACATTTTGAATTAAATATTAAGCGATTCCAATTTGATGGCTCTGTGCTCGCCGAGAATAGAGTGAAAAGTGTTTAATGTGTAGTATAAATCAGGCATTAAGTGTTGTATTTATTGGAAAGTTTTACCTACGTTGCATTCGTAATGTTTGGGGTTTGTTCGAAAGTGGTTCCCGTTTTGTTATTTTTGTATGTTGTTTGTGTTGTACAATACATTGAGAGGGTCCCCGAACAAACCGAACAGTGAAGAAAAATATTGATGTCGGGATATGCAAAAAGAAAGACAAAGTTGATAAATCATTGTTGAAAGTGGGGCATATAGTCACATCATGTGTTTGGTCCTTATCCCTAAATTAACATGCAATTAAAACATGCAATACCATTAAAACAATATATTAGATGTGCATATTAAAATAATGGACTTCTGGAGTTCTAAAATGCAATGGCAAACTCATAAAAAATAAGAACTGCATAAAAAGGAAATTAAAAATATATATTTAATTAAAATATATTTATTTTGTTATATATTTTCTACAATTTTAAACCAGGTATGTTTATTTCCAAGTTTAATTTACAGCTTGTTTAATGTATATGTCAATTTCTCACAAAAATTTCTATAAGCTTAATCTCTAATAATTTATCTTGCTGAACCCCTTATGGAAACACAATTTAAGCAATGTTACCGAAAATTAAACAATGCTGTTAGACAAAGAAACATGCAAAACAAATAGATAATAACAGCGAACGTGTGTTATACGACAAAGCTTGGCTTAGAAGTCTCGATGCCCCAAGTTTAGGTTTTGTTTGCACTGTCATTTGGCAAATTGCAACGATTGCTCGGCAAATCAGAGACTGAAGACAAATTTGCACACTTTGTCCAATTTATATGCAGCACTTTGCCAATTTGCACGGCCCACGCCCACGCCCACGCCCCCGCCACGCCCACTTGCAGGGCACTAATTACACGCATGCAGGTCAAAGTTCGTGGAGGGCCAGGCGAGCGCACTTGAATGTGTATGTGTTGTGTGTCCATTCGCAGAATTAATGAAATGAAAAACAACAAACCAAATAGCCACAGAAATCAGGGAACACCTAAAATAAGTGCAAGCAGCCAGGGTGAGAAATAAATAAATTTAAGCAACATGAAACACCTATGGAATGTTTGTTTGCCAGTGGGGCACAGCAATCGGCGGCAAAAGAGGCGAAATAAACGAACCGGAATCGAACGAACCAAGGGATGCATTAAGGATGCGCCTCACCTGGAGATTGCTGAGCAGAGCCTGGAAATATGGCATGGCCAGCAGGGTCCTGGTTCGACTACTCCCGCTGCTGGCGCTCGCCGGCTGTGGAACTCTGTCCTGGGATTGCACTAATTGCGAATGCTGCAGATGCAGATGCACGCCCACACACGCAGATATTGGTGGATTGGGATTGGGTTGGGTTAAGGAAGAAATATGGCGAAAATAGTTATTAAGTGTGACGTTATTTATTAGCAATATGTTTTGGTTTAAAGTTATGGTTATGCTGATATGGGTGTAATATATTATGGGAGATTGTGCTGGGGCGACAGAGTGAGTTAAGTTTGTTAGTGGGAACGGGGAGAATGCTGGATAGCAATTAAAACGGTTCAACCTGAAAGCGAGTGCATTTAAATTCGGACCATTAAACGAAATCAGAAAAGGAAAGCAGGTAAATATTTCGACTTATTATTAGTTTTTATATGTTATTTTATATAGTAATTACATTTACAGTTAGCAAAAGCATCCAACATCAACGACTCTCCTCACACCTGCCGAATCTTCTTTCAATTCGGGTGAACGATAAATCCCAAATCAGTGTTCTTCTTTTATATTGCTTGAGCATAACAGAATTTCAATTACATGAAATTCGAATAGAACACCTGCTATCGGCTAAAACTCAATCAAGGTTTTAACGCTAATTCTTGGCTTACTTTTCCAACAGAAATTTGGACATGGAAGACCAAAAGAAGACACCCGTACTTAAAACTTAATATCCTTAACAAGTGCAAGTGCAGGCCATTCCCTACAGCCTATGCCTCCCATTGTTGTTTTCGAAGGAAAGGAATTGTAAAATTTGTTTGGTTTACTTTTCTCCGCTCCAAAATACTCTGCTCGTCTTAGCTGTGCTGGCTCCTCTCCGGCAGGCAACTGAACGTATACGTAATTTCATTCCGAAGCGCATTATATGTTTGGCCAGTCGAAAAAGATAGAGCCAGGAACAAACAAAGATAACCAGAGAGACAGAGAGACGGATACAAATCTAAACTGCCAACAGTTGGCACAGATATTTATTCTGTTGACATGAGGCAACCCAAAGGAAATGGGGAAAGCCAAGTAGAAAAACTATCAAATTACGTATATGAGGACATAGGATGAAAGGGGGCGACTGAAACCGCAAATCCAATACACAACGAAATTGTGTAAACTCCGAAAGGACAACGTACGTTCCCGCACGTTTCCGGAACATATTTAAAACGTAACCCGGCAATGACGTTGATCGAGTGGGACAATCATAACGTATTCGAGCACTACTCACATCGTCCTCCATAATGCTGCTATCCGCATGCTGAACTCCGTCCGACTTGGGTCTCCTGTTCCGTTCCCGGCCATTCTGCAAACGCTCCGACTGCTGCTGTCTGCGACGTGTGCCCTGCTGCTGCGTCGACCTGGAAAATGTGAAAAAGATAAAGGGAGACATTAGACTCAACGGCTAATGCCGGGCCAGGATTGCGGGCTGGTTTTGGGACCCGTAAGATGTCAAATGCAGATTTCCGTTCCCACACCCACAAAGCCCTGTCAAATGCCGAGTTATGGTGGCCCTCCTCGGTCCAACTCCACCCTTGCCCATCCACAGCAAAAGGAGCCTTGTGACCCGCTCTCAAAAGAAGAAGTTTCATTTTTTAAGAGTCAAAAGTGGCAAAAAGAGCTTGTTTAAGCGGCTTTAAGAAGTCAAAACATACAAAAACAAAGGAAACTATTTAACTATTCAGAAAGTTCCTTTTAAAAGCGGCCGCTTTTAATTGAATTAGCAAAAGTAAACATTAAATTTGCAATAATTTATTATTTAATTATTCAGAAAGTTCCTTTTAAAAGCGCCCGCTTCGGCTAAATATTTAAGCTTCATGCCGAATGAGAACATTTTAGAAAGTGATTTTAATTGTCGAATGTTTAATAATGAAGGTGTGATCGACACATTGTTTTTTTTTTACTATGTTAGGAGGTACTCAGAAGGAGGAACAAATACAACAAAATTACATCGAACTGCCAATCACCTGAAATTGAAAGCCTATTTACGCGAGCTTGCTATCGTTATCGGTAACATATTAAAGCTATGTTTGATTTAAATTTTATTGATATAATTATTAATAGCAAGGACAGTACAAGTGTAAGTTGTATTTCTGAGTGATTGCGTTAACTCCAAAAAAGTTAGTTTAATCTGTAAGCCGGCTGTTACTTTCTTATTTAAAGAACTTCAATAAAGTACGCATTCTAAACCATTGCAAATTTAATGTTTACTTTTGCCAAGTCAATTTAATTTTGCATCAAATTTTATTTATTCACAACTTTGCGATATGTTGGTATATACTAGTGTTCCGATTTCATTCCATTCGTGGGTTTAAAATCCACTAGAAAAACATAAATAATAATTTAAAAGCAAAGCACCGGGACAATATACCAAAAAAAACTATTTGATGCCCACACCAAATGCTACTCAAAAGAGCAAAAGCCATCTCACTAAGCAAAGGATCTTCCTGTCCTTCTCGCAAATATTTGCATATTTTTCCATGCTGCAGAAAAATGACGAGAATTCTGGGTGTGTGCAAAGGTTCGACAAATAAAATAAGAGAAAAAACCCGATGAGGGCAAACATTTCTCAACCGCAAGGACATAAAATATGTATTTTAAGCATTTAAAGTACGATCAAATACTAGCCTTCCTTTTTTCCGTGCACCGAGTTACATTTTGATATTTTGTAACTGTAGCCCACGTCAAAAGTTTTGCTACGCTTTTCACGTCGAACGACAAAGTTGATGATGCATTTAAAAACCAAAAATACCCGACTGTGTGCCGTGCTATTTGGGAGGATGGTGAAAAGTCTGCGGTTTTCCAAAATGCATTTCGCTGTTTGCTTTTAACCATTTACATTGAGCAGGTGGGACGGGGCAGTGCACGATTGCAACCATATGGAATTGTTGTCCCAGCAAAGACATATATATAATTTGCACATCTATGTAGGCAGGTGTCTCTGTAATTTTTGGCATGTTAAACTCCTAACCCAACCAAACACGTAACCCAAATTGCGAAATAAACCGCACACACGTGTGCGTGGATATGCAGTTTAGGGGAAGGGATTGGTTGCAAAGGATTAGTTGCCACTGTGTTGTTTGTGAACAGGGCAGGTACTCAATAGAGTTAAACGCTGAATAGCATTGCAAATGGTGGGCGAGACTGTAAGCCAACCAAGCAGATACCATTAAACGCTTTGAACTCCAGAATAAATATCACGCGCAATGTTTTCGAACTACTTTTGAATGGCCTTAAATGGCATGAAGATGAAGCAAGCTATAGATGTCCGGAAGTGGCGAGTCTAAAACACCTCATTGAATTAAAAAAAAAACATATAATTAAGAGCAGCAAACGAGAGCCTTGCTACTTCGAAACGAAGTAAATATAAAGTGTCACAGCTAACTTAGTAACCACGAAAATAAAAACTCTTAGTAGTTTGTTTTTCTCATTTTCTGTTGTTGCTTAACCCCATAAAACTTGAATGAAAAGTTAAATTCAAACAAAATCCCGAGTAGGAGTGAGCCAGCATAGGCTGAGGAAGTGGAGGTGGGCGGAAAAGGCCTTTAGTGGGGCGAAACGGGAAAACATATAGATACAAACAAGACAGGATGAAGCTGAAAGTGCATAACTGACCACCATTAAGCGGTTACCACTTTGCGGCAGCACTAAATCGCGAATAGAGCGGAACTGGCTGTTTAACTCAAGAAAAAAGAAATAAAGATAAGAAAGCAAAAGCCAGTAATAACTGGACAGCGCAGGCACTTGCAATCCGAATGGACAGGGCCGAGGGGGTATTGAGTCAGAGATTGGGTTAGGAAAAGGATGTTGTTAAGGGGGCAAGGGGGGAAAATGCAAAATGCCCGAGAAAAACTGTCAATTTGCTTTACGCCGGGGAAATGAAGGATGTGAAAATTGACTCTACAAGAAACTTTATAAACCGAATCGGCATTTGCAAATAAACTTTAAGGGAAGTGCTTTCTAGCCTTGTTAACCCATTTCCTGTTCCATATTTTAATATATATTTTTAAAACTCAATAGCCTCTTCAAATATTAGAAGAATAGCCTCTTCAAATATTAGAAGAACAATTATGTGTATTAATTTCAAAAACGTCTTAAGTTGGTTCTTGGTTTTTGAAGTAGTTGTTTTAATTGTCAAATTGAAACTATTTTGATGCCATAACATATCATTTATGACACGAGCAACAAGAAAGAAAGCTAACTTCGGCAAGCAGAAGTTTATGTACCCCTGCAGCCGTCATAAAAATAAATTATTCTATATTTCGATACATTTTACGATTGTTTTTATGGCAGCTATAAGATTTTTAGAAAAGTAAAGCCTTAATTTTTAAATCTTAAAAATTACTATATCTCGGAGTATATGGGTATTTGTTAAAAAACAAAGAAATTATAATTTTATTTCCCTTTTTCTTGATTGTTCCCATGGAAACCAAATGATATATTCGTACCGTTTGAAACCGTATTTCTGAATTTTCTAAAAAAATCGAAATCTGAATTTACTCCAATTCAGACATGTTAAGAATCAACAAAAAGAGATCTTAATCATTTGAATTAATCTTCAAAATTCTTTAAAAATAGTTTACTATACTGCTTAGCTTTTTGTAAATGTATCCCGTTTTACTCCCAAACATTTTTCTTAAATAACAAACAACTTTATCCCAAAAACCAGTCCCATCAAGGTAATACGAAATGTGACGCCTCTTCAAAAGCAACGTGTTTAATCTGCAGCCCCTCCAAAGTAAAAAGTTGAGCGTGGAAACTTTTCGCTGAGGAAGGATAGAAGGTCCCTTTACTTACCCATTAGCGGGTCCATCAGTTCCCGCTCCACCGTAAGTGCCAGGTGCCCCCGCCGACGTCATGTCCGCCGAGGTGAGCGCCTCCGTGCCGCTCCGTTCACGCACCAAACGATCTGGGAAAAGGCAGGATGAGAGGAATTATTACTTACATAAGAACAGACTCATTAAGGACAGTAATGAGCAGGTTGAGCTACTATCGTAATTAAAGCAATGCCACTAAATGTGGTAAATACACCAAGAGCAAACCTAAAGTGATGTGTTTTTCACTTCGCTTTATAAGTGATCCCTTTTCGGCTATATAATCACTTTGTATGTTCAATCTTCCCTTCAATGTAGCTTAATTGGGGCTTATTTTGGTCTTTCAAATGTAAGCGCACTCCCTTCAAGTATTAATAGCAAACTTCCCATTACTTTTCAGACCACCACCCATCACTGATTACCCACCTACTTCCTGACGCTCCAGCTCCTCGGCCTGCTGGCCCGGCTTGGCCTTCACCTCGATGCTTATTTCCGCGGAGCTGAGACCGGCGTGACAGGAGTAGACTCCGGCATCGCGGAACGTGATATCAAGTATACGCAGGGCGCCCTTCTTCGACACTTTGAACTTGCGCGAACGCTGCAGCGGCTTGTGGTCCTTGCTCCACTTGATTTTGGTGCGGTTGTACCGCTTCACGGGGCACTTGATCTTGACCTGAGTGCCGAAGAACACCACCCCAGCACCGCCCACCTTCAGCGTGATCTTGGTCTTCTTGGGGTCGTGCTGGATGTGGGTTGAGTTGTTTATCTGGATCACCGGCTTGGGATCCTCCGGCGGGCAGGGCTTCACGTTGCAGGGCTTTTTGTCCGCCGGCTTGGCAGTCGGACACATCGATTCGGGGCGCTCGATCTTGTGCTCCTGGGCCATTATCTGCTTGCACTCCACCTTGCGATCCTTGAACCCGTAGCCGCAGGTGTGTGAACACTTGGCCCACTCACCAACCTCCCACCGAACGGGGCAATCGAGCACGTTGCAGTACTGTCGATCTGCCGGCGGTGGCTGTGGGCACATGCTGTTCGGCACCACCATGGTGTTGTCGCCACCGCGGGTCACCTCGTGGATGCACTGCACCTCGCGGGTCTTGATGCCAATGCCGCAGCTCTTGGAGCAGGGCGTGTAGTCCGAGTAGTTCCACCTGGGCGGGCACGGACGGTCGTTGCAGGTGCGCACCCTCGCCTCCGGCTTGGTTTCCGGTGAACAGAGGAAGGGTGAGACCACCCTGCCGTTATCCTCCCGCACGCAGTTGATGATCAGCTCCTCCACGCCGCCGAGGCAGGAGGCACTGCAGGACGTGTAGCCCTGTTCCCGCCAGACGTACGTCTTGCCTGGCTCCGAGACTCCCACTTTGATGGAGTCCCTGGGGAACTGGTCGTCGAAGCCGTGCGAGGGCAGCATGCACGGATCCTCCACACACCGTTCCACCTCGTCATGTGGTCTCTTCCCCTCACATAGCGAATCATTCACGGTGGCCTCTGTTCGAGAGTATTCCAGGAATATCTTGCAGTTGTAGGCCCGTCGACGCACTCCTTCGCCGCAGGTCACGCTACATGGTGACCACTCAACATCCTTGATGTACCTGGGGAATATTAAAATTAAAAGTTAGGTAAACAAATCGTTAGCTTTACGTATGATGTTTGATAATATGGAAATGGATAAGTATATATATCTATCATGATTTTTATTGATAGCAGTCATCAAGTAAAATTAAATAAATCATGAGCTTTACTTTGAGGATTGATAATATGAAAATATATTAATATAGACCTTATTACATCGCGATTCCCAAATTAAAATGAGTTATTAATGTACGGACTTCGAATAAATAATACGATATTCGCAAATATATTTTTCATTCAAGTTTCTGTAGTGATGGACTAAACTTGATGAATGTTTCAATGTACGTAACATTTTTAAATACACCTTTGTATAAAACATTCATCAAAATTTGAATAACGAATAAACAAAAGCCAGCGCCCACATATGCCGTGATCCATTTCCAATACGTTAAACCGCACGCACGTAAATTGAATGAACTAAAACTTGTGTCAACGCATAAAGCATCGTCCTGGATTTTTTCACATAGTTTCCCAGTCCTGGTCGCCCAATTTATCGAGAGCTAACAAAATTCCATGCAACAATAGACCCTGCCACGTACTACACTGTGCATTTCATTTGATGCCAGGACACATATTTATTGAGCCCTCTGCGCCCGACCCCAAAAAGTGTGCTACGCAAATGAATCGTTTGCTGCCCCTTCACTTTGTGTTGTTTGGAATGGAGTTTCACTGGCGACAGGCTTTGTAATGTTCTGGTACTGTTTTGTGGCCTGAAGTGGATTTGAAGGCCACGTCGACAGTGCATAGAAATGAATTGGGGGCCAGGAGCTGACAAATCCGCTGGGCAGGAGCGTTATTGATTTGTAGTCAAATTCTAGATGCGAATGTCGCATTAAAGTGGCGCCAAATGGCCGCAAACATCTTAGTATGGCTCTCTAAGTAGGTCAGCTCACAAGCTGCACGAGAAAAAATAATTACCAAGAAAGGTTATTAATGGTATTTCTTTATTTTGCGAAAAAGGAACTAGAGTTATAAATATTTTTTAAAAGATTTAAAAGTAACTTGGTAACTAGGAGCCGAATTCTAGAAAATTTAAATTAAGTTAAGACCCCCTTTGAAACATGCTTATATCGTGATAGATCAGTCTATTTCTGTTGTACTAGATATGTTGAACGTTTTTCTCTGTGTTGCTGCTGATTTCATAACCAATACGCCGAGTAGGCTAGGCGAGTGTTCAGAACTTTTTTTGCTCCTATCTTTTCTCCTTTTTTTTTTGTTTGTCTAGCTGGCTCGCTGCCATCGCCAATCTCTTCATGGCCTTTATTGTTGCCGCATCGGCTTCGGAGGCCAAGGTTCTAGTGGCGGCATCAAGACGCGACTTTATGGCGGCGCCAGGCTCGAATAGTTTCAGTTTAGTGGGCATCGCAACAACAAACCATCAAGAGAATTGTAAGGAGAATATAAGTTGAATGCCTTTTCAGCGGAATAAAAAGAGGCTTTTTGTAATTTTTTAGTCAACGGTCCATTAAGTCCAAAAGATATGAGTTTCTCAAGTCTCTATATTCAATTTTGTTGTTGCAATTTGATACTCCGGTCAATGCTCAATGGAACTTCTGCTGAATATGTAAAATAAAATAAACTCCGTTTGAATTATACATCACATAATTTAATATTTGGATGATAAACATTATTGTAAATAAACTACATTACAAATTAAGGATTGTCACCTTAATACACGGATATTTCCAAATTATATAAATCCTTATCCGTACTCTCATTATCATTCGACTTTCTATGCTATTTGGAAATTCGGTGAAATATCAAATATCTTTAATTACAAGCTGTACGGGTGTAAGTGAAAAGTCGAAAGAAGTGGATAGGGATTTCCAATCAGAGTGGTGATTTATTATTTGGGCTAAGTGTTCCCCACGCACCAATTATCCGATAAAATAACTTGGATTTGGCCACTCAATTCTAATGATTACATTTAGATTCATTTCGTTTGGTTCGCTTGTTAATTAAGGAGTACTTTCGCGTTAAAGTGTGTTCACGTTTTGATATGTTTGACCTGGCTTATCGGCGGAGTTTTTATCGTTTTCCAATAACAATGGTTTGGACACGTCAAAGCGGCACTTTTATTGTCATTAGGCGCACTTTGCCTTACTTAGAATCTACTCCGATTCCAAGTCGATACTTTCCTGAATCCTGCCCAAGGATGTGGGCCTGCGAGTTTGTCTAATAGCCCTAATTTTAGGTGTCGACAATGCCCAAGGCCCTTGTAATATGTCATGGAGAGGGCAATGTTGGTTGGTGTGTTGGCCAAGTACTCAAGCCAAGTCGATTCGGGTGGCAGCTAAGTGGGCAAAGATGGCGGTTAAGGACGCAGACCACCTCCGCACTAAAGAGCAAGATACGAAGAAGGAAGTGGCCGAAAAAGCCGAAGTCGTTCGCTGCCATAAAGATAGAGGGGCTCGAGTCAAAAGACTCTGGTGAGTCATGTCACAAGGGATTCGGCTAACCCCACCGAGGCATGACCTCAATTAAGGACTGACAATAAGTATTGAAACAAACGACAAGATACACTACCTTATTATGTAGGGGGAATCTGAAGAACATCAAAATGCGAATCAACAGAATAGAAACAATATTTTCAATTTTACTTCCTTGCGAAGCTTAGAAATAGTCTATTACAAAGTTCGTTTTAACACAAATATACAAACAATAATTAAATATTATCTTCAGGGGGAAACACTTGCTTAGTAATGCTAAAGTCCAACGGCCCTTTTATGTCTACAATCTTTCTTAAAGAAGTCCAAATATAGTTAAGGATTTTTCCTTTGCCTGTTTAAAAGCGTATCGCTTACCGTTTTGCAGTATTTACAGTTCAAAGACACAATGTTTATATGCAAATGCAACATGCGGTAAAAGGTGATGAGATAGAAACTTCGGTACAAAAATATTAATACGTTAAATCAAAATATTTCAAGTTTGTGCGATAGAATGAATTAGATAAATTTGAAATAATTTCCTAAAATGGCTATCCCATAAACCAGGTAAAAAAATCAAATCAAATCCTCTCGAATGTGATATAATCCAATTTCGCACGAAGGAATGTTCTTCAACAACTTCCCCTCCTTAATTCTAAGGAATCCGCCCTACTTACGTGGGATCCAATGAGGGCCCATCTGATCCGCCATTTCCTCGGTTATAATTACTATTCAAATTTGCGGTCATCAGACGCATGGTGCGCGGCTCATCTGGGGTTTCCTGCTGCAGTCGACTTTGTGTGCGATGGGCATAGCGCAAAGGTTGATCGGCATAGGACAGGCCCTCGCCGTCATCGGTATCCTGGCCAGATTCCAAGTCATCGATATCTTCGGCCTCATCGTCCACGTCCTCGTCATCGTCGTCGTCATCCACATCCGAGCTGTCCATCTGTCGCTCCGACCGCTAAAAAGGGAGTTTAAATTTCCGTTCCACCGTTGAAATCCTTGGCGGACTTACCTCGTTCAGCGACCGGCTGCTGCCCACGATGATGGTGCCACCACCTTTGTTCGCCGACCCACCGCCACCGCCTCCGCCTCCGCCGCAGTGGATGCCAATGGAGCACTGCTGCATGCTGCCCGGCTTGGTGAGTGGATCACATTTGGCACTCAGGCTGCCGTCTGTCGATTTGCATTCGACGCCTCGCATTTGTATTCCCTGTCCGCAGGAAACCGAGCACTGGGGGTTAGTGGGAGTAGAGTAGAGCATTCGTGAGCATTATAAATTATTTCAATACGTTCCCTTTTTGCTGTCATAAAAAGGCATTTGTTTGCACAAAGGATGAGCCGCAAAATGACAAAGTACGCTGCTCCTTCGCAAATGTTTCAAGTGATGCGGCTAAAAAACAAAATGGCAAACCCAACTGAGACTTTCTAACGTGCCACCCAAACGCACACACAGACATTAAGCCCCTTGCTTGCACGCATACAAATGCAAATTCTGATATTGTTTGTTTTTGCGTTTTGTCGTGCCCCGAGGCGTATGTGTAACGTTCCCAGCTTCATCTTCATTGTTTATTGGCTTTGCCCCACACCATCCTCTTCCCACAGCTTTAATGGCGCTTAATTTTGTGGCATACATTTTCTTATTGGACATAAGCGGCAACGTGTTTTTTAATGGGGGCACTTGGCCATCACTTTTCTCATTTCATAAGCATTATGAGAATTCATTTAAAATGTGTATAGTCGTGCTTTTCACAAAAGAGTTTGCAAACAAACAAAATGCAGAGAATGATGGCAAGGAAGATTTATTATATTTGTTTTAATTCATCAAGTTGTTAAAAGGCTTAAGGTAACTAGTTTCAACTATTTTTTTTCGTTTTGCAAAAACGTTAAAGTAAAATGGCCTTGGAGCTTTTATTTAAATAATGTAATGTAATGATAACTACAAAATACCAATTACGGTTTTTTACCTGATTTAATTAAATGGTTTTTTTCTCCTTAAACTAATTTAAAAAAAGGCAACACCTACATATATTCTATCCCAAGGCCCTAAGCATTATATTACCACTTTTAATCTATCGCAAAAATACCTTTAAGCCACCCCAAAACGTAAAATAACATCCAGAGGAAAAAAACTTAAGACGCCCATTCGGGCGTCTTAAGTCCCCACACATACACGTTTTCCACTGAAGAAGTAGGGGAACATTAATAAAGTTGCAGTTTAAATGAACAGCAACTAAAGTGGCGACTCAGTGTGAGTGGATCCATAGTTGGGAACTCGAATCGGGGGAGTGGGTGACCAGACAAACTAAGCGAGCACTCCGTCGACACCGCCACCCGTTGATTAAGTTGTAAGGCTAGGGCTATTACCCATTGCTAGGAGAGTGCCTCAGCCCTAACTCAGTCTCAGTCTCAGTCTCAGTCTCAGTCTAGCGGCTAGCAGCTTATTACGAGCCACCAAGTAAAGTAACGTCAAATGCGAAAAAAACCATCAAGGAAAGAGAATAATTCGGTCTATTTGAACTATGAATACTCTTACAGAACTTAGAAGGTTTTTAGTTCAAGCAATTTTGAGTCAATAAGGATTTCGAATAATCCTTTATTTAGGGATTCGAAATGAATCTGAACAAATGTATGGCAAAATAATGTTAACTAAATAAATTATTCTATAACCCTAACAAGGGCTTACAGTTTTAAAATGTATGTGAAGAAATTTCGAAAAAATAGGGACAAAATGTATTCACCATATATAAAATACATTTTGTAATACGTAATTTAAGTCTCAAATAAGATTTTTGAACACGAAAAAAAAAGGTATATATATTTAAAAAATCTGTTTCTAACATCAGTTACAGTTATTATTACAAAAAATCCAAGAAATCCCCTGCAGTGAATATAGATAAACCTTAGCCTAATTTCCTATGCTATTGAAACATTTTTGTATGCTTACAACAAAGTCCTAAAACCAACCACGCAAAATCGGTGCTACAAGGGCTATACCCCTGTGGCAGTCAGCGCTGGGGCAAACAAACAGCAGTGAGCCAGACATTTAGCTAAGTATACACAATGGGCCCAGACATAGCCTCGTCAACGAGCAACGTGCAACGTGCAACTTGCAAAGTCTACGTCTGGGTACTCCACTTTTTCTGGCCGCAGCGCAGAAAGTGCACGATTATTACACGACTGGCGGGGATGTGGGGGGTTGGGGGTGGCAAGGTACTTACACCGGTCCAGTCCTCGACCTCCCAATGCGGACACTCCTCGATAATGCAGGTCTCTTGTGTTGGCGGCTTGGGTGTGCGGCACATGATATCGGCGACCTGTCGGAGGGTGAGGGGAAGTGTGAGAAAACATGGCAATAATGTGTTGGGCTCCTCCCCGTTTCCGTATGCAAAATTAGCGGCGTTTAAAGCAGGCGGCACCGCAGGTAATAGCCAGCCACTTTTTCGGCCATCCTTTCAGCCACTTGGAGTGGTCCTCCTAGCTGCCACTTTAGCACTCACCCTCGTCTTGATGGCGTTCGACTCCTCCGCACAGACAACCATCCGCTCACGATACCCGTGGCCACATAGCCGACTGCAAGTGCTCCAATCGTCGGTTATCCAGCTGCGAATTTACAGAGGTTAAATGCAAGTGGTCAGTGGGCGTCTTTTGTGAATTAGCGGAACAGAAGATAAATGAATGGTAGCCAAAAGCAATGAGTGGTTTGTGCAAAGAAAACAATTTCACACGCTCTGAAATACGTTCGCCCTTAAAGTTCTTGCGGTTGGTTGTGAAAATAAATGCTCTGGCGAAAGGACCACAAAGGAATGCTATTGTTATTGGCTGTTAAGTAGTTGAACAGCGGTAAATCGTTGGCATCATTCGATGAACTGAACGATGCAGCTGGTTGGGAGAATAATTTTGCTGAAGTAAAAACAGCATTAAAGCTTTATTTTATTTCACTAACTAAAAGAGCATTTAAATTAAGAGTTTTTAAACTAGGTAAATAAAAGAATAATTGTTGAAAGTGGTGTAGGGGAAACATAAAAAAATAAAACCCGTTTCCAACAGGTTTTTAGTATTATTAATATTAGTATAATTTTTCTGTCTTCATATTTACCTATTAAGAGATTAATTTTTAAAAAGATAAGCCGAAAGGGGCGAAAACTTTTGAGTCTAGTTAGACAAAATCAAAAAAGTATAGACTTAAAACAAGAATTCTGTTCCTCGCCAAACGTCGGAAATTAGTATTCAAAGAAGGCCCTGGAAAATTGGAGCAAGTTTCACTTCCGTTCCGGATCGCTTTGGTTTTTGGGTTTGGCTCGCAAATGTCACCAAACGATAAATAAGCGTGAGTGTGCCAGTACGAAAAAAAGAAGAAGGACAAAGTAAGAAGGACGAAACGGGGACTTCGCCCCCAGCGACGTCCGCGTTCGTATCCTGGGCGATAATAGTGTGCCTGGGATGGCAATCAAAACGTGCGCACGATAACCAACGCCATTTGAATTGATAGCTGGCCAAGTCAGACACGGTAACCGATTTTTCACTGACACACAGTTTTAAGTCCCTCTTCACAAAATCAAAAATTCAAAAAAAAAAAAAAAAAGAAAACAAGAAATTGATAATTTTGCCTATTTTACCTATAACAAAATCTCAAAGTAGTTAGTTTGTTTTCAATTTAAGTATCTCCTTTTAATTAACATTAAGACCCACTTGTGTTTCCCTGATAAAACCCGCGTTAGAATAATATAGCGACTTAAAGATTTGCAGCGAAACTGCATATGACAATTGCAATTTTATATTCATGTTCCTAGCATTTTGAGATTCCCTATTTTAAAAAACCATTTGTAAATTTTGCTTCCTTGATTGACTTAAGAATGAAAAACCGAAAAAGACTTAAACTAGTGTGGCTAAGTACTTTTAGAATCCATCAGCCACATTCAACGCGTTGCACTGTGAAATCAAACAGAAGTTTTGTTCAAAGATAGATATATATTTTTTTAAATTTAATGAATTGGTTTTACTCGAATTTGTTCACTTACAAAAATAGCAATTGCTCCTTTAAGAAAAATATCAACAACATTATGACGAATGTAACTACGCAATATGTTTAAATATAGGCCTGACAGAACTACACATTCTTTCCAGTATAACTGCGGTTGCTTAGAGGAAATGTTTGGTGGAGTTGGAATGAGTGTGTGGGTAGCTTAGGCAACTGTGGTATCTGGTGGCTGAAGGCTGGCAGCCAGGCTCCGCAGGTACTCCGGAGTACTTACCGCGGAGGACAGCTGTGGGTATTACATTGCTCCACCGACGCCTCCGGGCGATTAGTTTGGCTGCAGAGCGAATCATCGACATCGGCGTTGGTTAGACGATTCCTGCATAAAGGTCGAGCCATTTTGTAACCTGAGGAGAACGAAAAACGAGTCAGAATATCAGTAGAGAAAAGAAAAGAATGTTAGTAAAGAGCAAAATTGGTTTCTGTTTTCATTTTTCCTTTTTTTTCTTTTTGAGCTGCATTTTAAAATCAATAAATGTCAGGAGCTGCTGAATTCGATTGGCGAAAAAGAGGGACAAGAGCACTTCTTGTGCAACTTTAATGTCACTTAAGGCACTTAAGGCTCTTAAGGCTGTCCCGTCAGTAAAATGGCAGAGATGGTTTCTATCTGAAGCAAACATTGCTGTAGGTATAGTTAGGGGAAAATAATAATAATAATAGAGTAGTAAATACAATAGTAACCCATGTTAATATGAAATCAAGCCTCCTTACACAAAAATAACAAAATTTACCTTTGTGTATTATTATTTTATAATAATAAAACCAATGTTCAGAAGGTACTTTAATTTTAAATTGTTGTAAAAATGCATATTTTAGATTTATTTAAGAAAAAACTCTTTAATGCTAAGAGCATCCTAGCTCGTGCACTAAGCGACTTCTATAAAATCCCAAAAGAAACTGCCAAATCAATTTCTCAGATTTAAATGTAAGCTGCTAGCTAGAGAAAAACGGGGATGTGGAGGGTGATGATTCCAAAAGCGCAACCGGAAATTGGCAGATGGCAAAATGCAGCTAGCAAAGGATGAGGACCAAAGTGGGTTGTTAAGGAGGTTAGAAGGAGCAGAGGCGAAGGAGTCGCACAATGCATAACGTCATAACGATCTGTCAGTTTGAAAAATCGCTGGAAGCTTCTAACCCTCGGATACGTTCTGGTGTCCTTGCCTTCGATTTCGGTATAAATACTCCCTCGGTGAGCAGCTGTGACGCTGATTTTCAGCTATTGAATTTCGCTTATAAGCTTCATCACCAGTGTATGTGGCTGGGTGCCATGGCAATGTCGTCGTCATGGAGCTGACTGCGTATTCATGACACAATTGGCTTAAGGCAATTGGTAATATCCTCTCATGGCATTTACGTCAGTTGTCGAAACCCAAAGAGAAGTCATCTCCAGCGTCAGACTGCATTCTTGTGGGATGGCGACAGGAATGTGCGTGGCGCAAAACCAGGACACGAGCAAAAAACGGACCATGACCCAGTGAATTTGTAACGCTCACAGTCTGTCAGCCTTGAGCTTTTGAAAGCCCCGAATCCCTGATTTCTACCATCCATCCTTACCCCTGATATTATTCGCTTATATAGAGCCACTCAGGAGTAAGAACTGTCTTCAAAACGGAGCGTTAAACTTACATTTATAAATAAAGCTATTAAATACCGGAATTTTTGGAAAACCATGAACAATTTATTCGATTCCTTACAATCTTCTCCTTTCACATATCCAACCCTTCATTTTTGTTTATTTGTATATATAATTGTATTTATTTTTACTGTGAACTTGGATTTTGCCACCCAGTACAGGATAGACTTCTTTCGCATTATAGATACAAAAGAGTATGTTTCTTGCAATTAAAAAAAAATCTAGTTATTACTAGCTGATTAGATGATTCTCTGTTAATTATATAACTATTTCAACAGCATCTGTATCCAAATATACTGAAACCCGGTTGTCAATACCAATTCGAATGTCTACAAAAAGTAAATTAAATAAAGATTAAGTGTTTTCAATTCAGAACAACCCCCGTTAAACATCTCAGCAGGAGTGAGTTGTGAAAAAATTGAGAACAATCCAAAGTTTTTGCAACAGACAGTTGGAACTCCTGTCACGTACATGAAAACTGCAATTGTCCAACTGCGAAACTACCCAACCAAATATGTATAATTGAGTATAATTGATTTCGTGAATTATGTGCATTATATACCCCAAGAGGGGCACCGAGTAAAAGCATTTCGATGTTCATAACAAAAAACCCCACTATTAAATCGGTTTGGCCTGAGTCGGACCCCACTAGTGACCATTAAATAGAGGGTTGTTTATTGGGAGCTGGGAAGACCCCAAAGAGACAATGGATAGTGCACTGCAGTGCCATTGACATTTAACTGACATCTAAAAACTAAACACAGACAGACACATTGAAATGTAATTACAGACGCGTCTAATCTACATTGAGTAGGTCACTGGGGTTAAAGACGACCGCCCTGAGCGATACTACAGTTAAAACTGAAGGAGGAAGCTACAAATTGATTTTGCTATTTGTCTCCGGATAATGCTTGAGTAAACGTCTGGCCAAACCATCCTTCGGCAACTCCGACTGGCACTTAGCCAAAGCAAAGGACAGCTAATCTCTGACAGGCTAATGGCCGGGAAAAGCCGAACCAAAAAATTATTAAATATTTATGGGACATTTGAACGTCTAAGCGAATAAAAGTATAATGAACCGACTAAAACTTGACTTGACTGGGCGGAAACCGATAATATTTGCCATGGAATATACGGTTGCGTGTTTGAATATTTCAAAATAAAATTCAATTGATTTTTAGTCTCCCCCAATATTTGACAATCAAAATTTATTTATCTCTCTTTAGTGAAAGGAGTTAAGTCGGTGCCGTTAAAATCATGGCGAATTTAAATAATTTCTGACGAATAGCAGTTTTGTGCTTAATAGGAAATATAAGCAATTAACAAATTCCTTCTTGTGAATATTTATCAAATTGTCATAGTTAATTCCGTCTATTTTTTCCGACGGCAACAAAGCATGGCTATAACGTATTAATTAGAGTACCTATTAACTGACTGTTTGCAAACACCTTTACATGATGAAGTTCCCGAGCATGTTTTTGAGCAGAAATACCTTCATTTATTAGTTTTCGTACCTACATATGCTCTTCAACGTCAAGTTTTATTACCTTGTGCCTCATCGCGGTGCACTCTAGAACCAAACTTTCAACTTAACTTAGGAAAGGCACTCTGGCATCTTAATCGACAAACTTTAGTTTCAAATATATTATATCCCCTGGTCTATTAATCATATACAGGTGGCAACAATGAAGAACGAAATAAATTCAGTTTTCAACAACCATTTTTCTTGCCTCTCGATTACCATGCAAACATTCAATCGAAACGAATACCAATTCAATGACAATAAATGAGCACGACAAATAGGAGACTCCTGCACACACACTTTCGTAGGCAGGGACAAAATAAATTTGAATGTACTTTTCGGAAGAGGTAAAACTGGGGAGTAGCGATTACAAACGATAGTCAAGCACGCCACGAATTCCAATCACACATTCCTCTTGTTTATTTACACTAAGGATAGCAAAGACAGACGGTCATCGGTGAAAATAGAGAGTAGTAGAAGGAAACTCTAAGAATAAATAAAAAATAAAATATAGAATGTTCCTTGGCTCAGCTCATTATTCTAAAAACAAAATAAAATAAAATCAATCTATTTATCAGGAATGTTTCAAAAATCTCTAAAGATTTCGGTACGGTTTGTCATTCCAGAATTGGTTTTATAATCCTTCTTGCTTGGCCCAAATTGTCTTCTTAAATGTTGAAGAGGATTATTTCACTAGACAACGGGATTTGAGTTTTAATAAGCCAATTGGCTTTCTAACGAATTCACAAATGTAATAAAGCGCTTTAGGAAGTAATTAAAACAAGAAATGAAGCAAAGTTACAAAACGACTACATTTCGATTTTTATACCTACTTACATATACTACCTTGTTTATTTTGTGCTGCATTTTGCCAAGTTTCTATGGCAGCTATATGATATTGGTGTCCGATTTTGACAAAACTAAAGGCGTAATTCTGATATAGTAAATTATTTGTATATCTCAAAGTAATATTTTGATAAATAGAAAAACAAGAAAATAAAAATTTGTTTTCAGTTTTTATAATTTTTTTTTTTAATGAAGATATGTGATATACATGTCCGATTTTAATTTTAATTTTTTTATTTTTAATTATAGGGTCGGAAATGTGTCATTCAATGCGTGGCAAATTTTTGACTAAACATATAATACCCTCAGCAAGGCAGGTAAAATAAGGATTGAACTTACCACCGCCGCAGGTGGCGGAGCACTGCGACATCGGTGCCATCTCCCAATAATAAAGTGGTTGGGAGCAGGAGTTTCCATCGCCGCCGCAAACGCCGCAGCCGTCGATTTTCTTCGTCGAGCCGATTTTCAAGTCGCAGCCAACGCGCTGGAAAGAGATGACAAGCCACTGGCGTTAGAACGTGATAGGCACAGTTAAAGACAAAAGCCCAAATAACAATGGCTCCGTAAATAAAGTGTAAATCAACTGTTAGCGGTATCAATAGCATAACACACAAAAACAAACGAGAATCGTAAATAAAATGTGGAAATCAATGAGAAAGGATCCATGCTTAAGGCTTTAGCTTAGGCAAGACTAGATAGGAATACGAAAAATGGGGCATTATTTTGTTATTTACACCGGTGTTCCATGGTCTATGAGGCTATCAATTCTTAGAGTTTTTATGGAATTAAACGGCGGATTGTTCGGCCGATTGATTGATTAAAATGTGACTGGAAAGTTTTTACCGGAACAAGTTTTTCTCCCTATAACGTCCAAAGTTTAAAACCGAGCAGCACCCGCTTATTACAGCTTAAAAACTAACTGACATATTTTTAATTTAAGCTCTAAAAAGAAGGGAAATTAAGGCCCATGGTTTTCAGCACGGAGAAGATCTCACACAGACATCCAGTTTTTGGATTTGTTAGAATATGTGCTACTTTCTGCCGGCTTTCTGTTTGCCGGTTGATATGAGTATGTAATACGCAAGGCAAAAAAGCAAAGTCAAAGCACGCGGCTCGCATAACAAGCCGCCAAACAGGCCCAGGCCTTTCGATTTATTTATACCAGATATAATACCTATATACAAATATATACGTATCCACATACAGAATGCCTCTGGCAGCTGCACACCCCCTATTTGGCGACAAATAAAAAACAACGTAAACCGCATGACATATTGGCGTTTATTACAACAAATTGGGGTGACGATTTGGCGGCGTTTCAGCGCAGCAAGAAACTAGACGAAACTTGGATAAGATGCCGTACTCCCACAGCCCACAGCACACACGTCTGTAAGTACGTATGTATATAGCAACCCGCTGGAACTGAAACTGAACCGAAACTCAAACAGACAAGTCGAGTGGGAAACCCCTCAGGCTGAACCCAAGTTTTGTCAGCGCGGCTGCGGCTGTCGCCAACTTCGTTTGACATTATTGTAGTTGTAATCCTGCCAAGGAAAGGCAGACATTGCTGGCACTGCAGGCTGACGAGGTTTGCCCGAAGATCTCTTCATCAATTTAATAATTTTGCTTTTCAGAAAAAGCTAAAATATAAAATATATATTGTCACTTAAACATAGGCGAACTATTGACTATTGGTTTGAAAAACTGGCTTTGTGAAGCAGTACTTAAGTTTCGTACATGAAAAACATCTTACAGTTGATCACAGTATAAGTAATGTAGGAGGCCATAGAAATACTTGATTTTAACGTCAATTTTATAAAACGACGATTAACTGTGGATGATCCCAGCAGACCCAGTACAATAGGAACTCCTTTTTCCAGAAAATGTCATTGCCTTTAAAATGCGATTTTCTCAAATCCTTGTTTTGCAACACATCGAACCTCATCTAAAAATGATCCGGTATAAAACAATTTTCGAATAAAAACTTTGCTGTATTATAAATTATTTCTTCAAAATTTATGGTTTTTTTTGAGGGGTCTAAATGGGAACCGGCAGATAGTATGATGAGTATTAACTAAATAGTTTCAATATAAAACTTTTGATATTAAAATAGCACCACAGAATACATACGGAAATTCGTTGGTGTGGAAATAAATCAGCTCTTTTACGCTTTTTAGATTTATTTTGAGTCAAGATTAAAATAAAGTTGTTGTGCCTGAAATAATGAAATTAATTCTAAACGAAAACAAACAGAAACTAAACTTCTTATTGAAAATATACTTGTCCAAAAAATACCGTCACACTCTCTCATCATGATTTTTCAGATTTTTAAATTTATTTTGAGTAAAGATTAAAATAAAGTTATTGGACATAAAATAATGAAATTAATTCTAAGCGAAAACAAACCGAAACTAAACTTCTTATTGAAAAGAAACGTGTCCAAAAAATACCTTCACACTCTCTCATCATCATTTTTCAGCCACCCCTCGGCACCCATGTCAACATATAGTAGCATACTTTGCAGCGCTCTTCGTGGCCCAGGGAGCAGTTTTTGATGCCGCTCTACTCGTTGCCTTCCCGCTGCCTTCCTGTTGCCCTGGGGCACGCTTTATTGGCATTTCAATAGTTGACTTTTGACGGCAGCAACAGCAGTAGGAACTGTGGCAGAACAACCTGCCAGCCACGCCCACCCCCTTCGCCAGCCCACTTCATGATTTATTTATGCGCCCGAGCATAATGATACAAAGGCGCTTGTGTTATGCAATCTACATACATATACATATGCTTAACGCTCTCCCGTCGAGCCCCGCAGTGAAAGTAGCTTTTGTTTTTGCCCCTTCGGGCTTTTGCCAATGCCCAAGCCTACCTCCATTCCAAAATTGTGGACGTAATTTATCATATTTCGCCATGCCGATGGGGAGTAGCTGAAGTGGAAGGGACGGTTTGAACAGGAAGGAGATTGGGGAAAAGAAACACCCACCCCCGAGGATTCTTGTTTTCCCCGAACTTTGCCCAAATAGGACTCACCTGACATTTTCCTTGGATGCACATATCCAGGCTGCCGGAACGACAGCGAGTTCCATCTTGGACCCTTGCCGACAACTGCACAATGACGCTCTGCTCGTCGTAATGCTCCGCCTCCTCGGCATTCCCTCCTCCCGTCTCACGGGATATGTCTTCGATGAGATGCGCCGGATGTCCCCTGCGGATGGAGAATATTTTTAGCATCGGGATTATTCATGAAATTAATGCAAATTTTGGCATGGATTGGATTGGATTGGATTAAATAAGAACAAAGTTTAAATATCTTAATAATACAACAAAAGTAAAATAACCTAGATTATTATTACGTACTTTGTTTTAGGCTAATGTTTAAAGGTTCTGCTGTAAATTAATTCTGAACGGAAAGTTGTTAAAGACACTTAAATGTGTGTAAACATTAAAAAAGATTAAAGTTAACCCCGGTCGTTTCCACAAAAAAATGAAAATTCAGAACGCAAAACAAAAACACGACCGTTCACTGTGAAGAGCGAAATATGTAAATTTATGATAGAAGAAAATTACTTTTCCAAAAATGCTCACTTAAAATTTAAAATATCTTAAGATCTTACTTACTTACTTACTTAAATAAAAACATTTTACTCAATCTAAAAGTCTTCACAAAACTACATACATCGTCTAGTCCTCCCTTTTAGATATCATCCTCTAAAAATTTCTTCCTCCCCGATTGCATTTGCAACTAAATTGTAGAAATTTAAAGCTTAGCAAATGATTTATTTCGCCCTCATGTGGGCAAAAAAAAACAAATAAAAGAAGAAACCCAAACGGATTAACCACAGAAACTGGAAACCGCAGAAACCTAAACCCAAACTCGGCTGTCACTAATTTGAACCGCAAAAAGGGAAAAATGCTACAGGATAAAAATAGAAAAAGGACCAACAGCTTTTTTATTGTGGCTAAATGAGAAACCGAATCGAAATCAGTGCCAACTAAAACGCAGGACCTAAATGGAAGCCACTTGAAGCAACACCGCATGGCTGGCAAAACGGAAAGCCTGATGAATAATGAGCTCACATCCGACTGGACCAGCTGCAACATAGTACGATTTGGTGTGGCAGTGATTTTTCTGTGCAACAAGCCACACTTATAAAAAGAATTCAAATTTTTCAAAGTGTCTGCAGTATATGAACTAAAAACATAAATAAAGTAATAATAGATATTCTCATGCATGTCATGGAAAAATAATTTCCATCAAAACAGTAAGAAAATTCTGTTGCTTTAGAAAAATTGAATAAAGAAATTAATTAAGAAAACTTTCAATTACTTTACAATATTATATACACCATGTTGACAAAAGAAAAAGTTCCTAACTAAATTTTTCATTTCGTAGGTGTTCGATTCAAATGAAAACTGAGCTAAAGGCAAGGGTTTTATCTTAAAAACAACTTATTAAAAATAAACTCATTTCCGGTAAATCCAATTCAAAAACGAACTTATAGTTTTTACGAGTGCATTTTCCCAGCCGCCCACCCACACTCACCTGCATGTGAGAGCACAGGGCTCGACGTAATCGTAGTGCGGAGTCCACTTGTACAGGGTGCCGTCGTAGGGGACATCGTTGTATGCGGCACATTGGCTGGAGCGGAAGTCCTGCTGCTCTGGACACGGCTGCATGTTGCAGATGCGATAGCGGGCGCTTTCGCCGCGGCAGCTGCCTGGGCTGCCGTTGCCGCACCTGCGCATCTGTTGCATGATGCCTCCATCGCAGGTGCGCGAGCAGGTCGACCAGTCCGACCAACTTGACCACTGGCCGGCTCCACTGCCTCCTCCTCCTCCTCCTCCTGCACTCTGACCCTTCGCCCGCTTCTGTTGCTGCAAATGGGCAGTTGCATTTGGGGGCTTAATATGCCGTGCTTTGGCGAATGAAAAGCCCAGGCTACTTACTTCCAGTTCATTTTCTAAGTCGGATGCCGTATTCCAAGTGTCGTCGAATGCTTGACTCGCATTCAGCTTCTTCGCCCAGGCTGCGCGTGTGTCCAATAGGCAAAGAGTGGTCTGAAATTAGTCGAAATGGTTGAATTACGAGATTAGTGATTAAGTGAAAGCTACTAGAATGCTTGATGGCTATGAAACTATTAAAAAAGGATACTTTTTGGAGTTAAAAGTCAAGAGCTGGTAATTTTCTGCAAGAAACATTGTTATAAAAGTATTTCTTGCTTGAACAAATTTCAATGTTTTTGTTCCTCGTATTCGTATACATTAAATTGGTTAATACATACAAATTAATACATTTTTTCTTGAGTTTTCATTTTTAAGAATTTTGAAATCAAGCGACATAACTTTTTTTCATCACCATAAAACCGACAGTTTTTTTATTTTGTAATTTATTATAAGTGAAGTCAATTTTACTGACTACAACTCCTAGTTAAACTGCCGCATTCTCAAATTAATTCCTCACTCAATTACCACTCCATCAGACCCACTTAGAAAACTATATAGTACGTGGCATACAGCCAACTTGAGCCCAATAACGCGATCCAAAGTATGTCACATATTTGACATTTAGGGTTCAGGCCCCACAGAAAGCTCTCGCATTGATATAAATTGTTTTCTTTCGCACGCGCCGTTCCCGTTGGTCACGTTAACAATTTGCATTTCGGCGTTCTGCCTTTGGTTTCCTGTTTTTCATTTAGAAGACATATTAACTCAGGGACACGCATCACGTCCTTGTACAAATAGAAGGCTAGGTATTGAAAGCAATCTCGCTACTGAATACCGAACAGTGGGTATTAAATAACGAAAATTACCAATACAACTAACTTTTATAGTTATTAAACTAAGTCGATCATTTACTCGAAATAAATTGAATGGCTAAAAAAGTGCTACAAAATCTTATAAAACTGTATCCAAAAACAAAAAGACGTTTCTGGTTTTCATATTGTAAATACTATGTTCCTAAAACCCAGCTTGATTTGTTATTTTTTTTTATAATGTTATTAAAATGTTATTAAATGACAGTCTAAAGAAAGATTTTAGTCTAAGAGTTTGACACCCAAATAAATTAGATTCTAGCTCAATAATAAACATGAGGACGACAAAAAAAATACAGCAAAAGTTTAAAAACATATTTCATATTTTAGGGTAGCTTACTTTTAGTATTACAGAATATTTTGTCGGTCTCTCATGTCGTTTTTAAAGTTTTGAACTTTATTCCGAAAAATCATTCAATTTGCCCATAGTGACATTTCGTTTGTCAAGGGTTCAGGGAAAAAGGCACCACACGTTATCTTCTCCTGCTGTTGCCGCTGCTTTATGGCGTGTAGCGATATGTACACGTACTTCAATTTACCCAAAACTACTTACTTATACATATATAGTCTGGGAAACTACACGCAATCACGGCTTTGAACTTCTGCGACTTAACAAGTGTGTAAGTGTTTATCACAGGAAGCAGATTGCATAAAGTTTTAAAGTGTTTGGAAACATGAAATTGGGACGGATTTTTTTGCTGATTAATACGATATCCTTACTAAGCTAATAATGGTTTCCTAAAAATATAACATTTAGTTACTAAATAAATAACCTATCGTTACACGAAAAGTAAAGAGCAGTTCGGGGGTAGCAATTTTATGGGGAAGTTTTAATTGTTAATAGCTAATTAAATGAATTTCATTAAATAATTTTAAATCAAAAAGCCCGAAGAAATTAATAAATACAATCTGTTCTTGGGAAATCTTTGAATTAATGCTTCACCCCAAATTTTTCAAACTCGCAAAATATGTCGTGTTATCTTAATGGACTACTAAAGAAATTGAAAGTTACAAAAAATCACAGTCTCAAGCGAGAACTGACAACTTTTAAAGAACTCTTAATATTTATACAAGTATATGTAAACAATTTCAGAGTTGTGGGGGCCAGAAAAGAGTTGAAGACAAATTTTGACCGAAATTGTGTAAGACATACAAAGTCGAGTATGCCTCGAAACTAAAGGCAGAGTATAGGGCAAGCAAGTCTCGAACGCACTCTCCTTAGTACAGTCGACCAAGCGGGAATAAGTAAAAAGAAGGAAAAGAGAAAATCAAGACTTTGGTAAAATTCCGCTGAAGTTTGACAACGTCGCGTTACCCAGGGAGACGAGTATCAGCTAGCTAGATCACTCACTCGTATGAGCGTACTCGCATAGTGTGTTCTCGCTCGCGCAACACCGATAGTGCGTAGAGAAGGAAATGTGAATGAGAACTGGAAGGATTCCGTTACTCTAAGCTTAGCGACGATGCGTCGATGCAGACGGCAACGCGTGCCAAAGCGTTCACTTCATTTCAAATCGTCAAAGAAGACGCACGTTAACGCTGCGCTAGCCAAAGTGTTTCATAGAGAGAGCTGTACAACTTGTGACTGTGAAGAATTACTTATAATTAACTACAAATAACCTAGCGTGCTTTGGACCAGCGACAGGTAAATACCAGTAATACGATCAGGTCAGTTGAGTGAGTTGTTATTTAGTTGCAGTAGGCCAAGAATACTACGGGAGTGTACGTCAAGCCGGCCAGTGAGACAGGGTTTTCCCAGACTGGTCGGTAGGCAAAAAGGGAGGATCTGCGATTTTTGACAAACAGACTGCGCGACTCCAAAGCGAAAAGCGAGCCACGCGCGGCACCCCTACAGACTGCGCGACTCCAAAGCGAAAAGCGAGCCACGCGCGGCACCCCTACAGACTGCGCGACTCCAAAGCGAAAAGCGAGCCACGTGCGGCCATGAAGATCTAGGATCAGCCAAAATTTTCCAAGGTTATTGAGCTAACTGCAATCTCATAGCCTCACCAGCGCACGCCACGTGCGGCCACGAAGATGTAGAATCATCCAGAACTTTGGAAGGTTATTGAGCTAACTGTGATCTCATAACCTCACCAACGCACGCCACGTGCGGCCAGACTACATAAAAGGAGAAGAGGCGCCAAACGAGCGGCCACGATATAACTCCCCTAATGCGACAGAAGTAAAGAAAGAAGGCGTGATCACTCTAGGCGATCATGCTTCAGCACCACTAGGAGAAGAGCCGGAGAAACCTGGGATACCATGCATGTAGAGCGCTATCCACGAACAGTATCCAAAGGAAGGTCACAGGAATGAGATTTGAGATTTAAAGACGTGATGTGACAATTTCAATTAATTAAATATTTTTATATATATATATAGATATTAGGAACTTGATTGGACGATCTAAATTTGAGTTCGTCAGTAATTGGTAGAGTCATTTGTAAATTCCAATCGTGCAAACCACACACGCTCGTTCCATCAGGAAATCATATTTTCTAATATCTTTGCATGGAGTAATCAACTACAGCATCTTCGATGGGCCCAACGAATCTGCTTCTACGGAATCGTACGTAAGTCAAACAGAAACTTGATATTATATTTCCTGACTGATATATTTGGGGATAAGCATGTGTGTGTCGATGCGAAGGATAGGATGTTTGCGAATGCATTAAGTTTGTATTTTATAGTCTTTTTCTAATATAATTATATCAATAAGGAAAACCATATATATATATAAAAGTAATGACGTAGCTTGAATGAGAAACCATTGATTTAAAATGACAGAACGCACTAAAGGCGCGAAAAGTAATATTTTGTTTGATAAAGTAAACTTTGAATGGAAATACAATGATGTCTAAATAACTTGAGATTCCTAGGTCCATTGCTTGGATTATAATGCTGCTGTTACATAGATTTAATAAGTAAATATGTAAATAAATTGAACAAGGGATAACCGCAAAATTTATCACGTGTTATCAAGGTAGGGAGGGTATAGAACGGGGAGTGAATAACACCTAGCTTCCCCGAACTCTTATTATGTTGTTTGATCCGCTTAGCCTTCACAGTCCGTCCGCTTGTAAAAATGTCCGTTCACATCCTTGATTTGTTTGGAACCTGTTAGAGTACCGCTTAGTGCACTTAAAACTTTCTTTATTTGTGGGACAGTGTACATCATATAGAGGACGAGGAAAGAACCCCACCCCATCCGACGAGTTTAGTACCGAGCAACGCTAGAAGTGCACGACTCCGAATCCTCTATACACTGGATGGTCCGTACCTCCGGTGCTGTCTACTACATAAAATATAAGAAATGGCGCCCAACGTGGGGCTTCGAGGAGCTTAATTTCAATCGAAAAGTATTTGAGGCAGTCTAGTTTCACTTACGAAAGCCCTAGGTACCGAAACCACCAAGAAGTTCGTAAATTTCATAGTGCAGGACGCTAGGTGAAGCTTTAGCCTCACGATATTGCTTTAGTAAATTTTAGTATTTTGTTAGTAGATTCAGCTTAAGCTTAATTTTGTTTTCCTTGTTGTTTGAGGCTCACTAGAAATTTGATGTCTGGAACTGCGACCGCAGTCCGAGAACTTACGGACTGGGACGACCGCACAAATCTAGGGACCAGCGCAATAAGTAGAATTCAAAATTAACATGAGTCAGAAATTTTCTGTGGATAAAGGTGAAGAGAACTAGGTTTCTAGGAATTGCGATTGTATTTCGAGTCTTTACGGAATAGTCGACCAGAGCCAACCGTTCACTTTATACCTCGTTTTCAGCAATTTTTCGTTTAACTTGTTTTAGAAAGCTGGTAGTCTGTTCTAGGAAATGCAAAGCATTGGAGAAACTTCGATCTTTGACCAGAATAAGAAACGCCACTTGAGAGACAAGAGTTCAAAAGTATTTTGATTTAATTAAATTATTGTTTTCGGCTAAAGATCAAGGAACATTTAAGAGTTTATTTATGTAACATGCAAGCAGTTGTAAAACCAAGCATGGACCAAAATTAATATATTTTATTTTGAAGTTTTGAAAAATTTGTGAGTAAAAAAAAAAATGTCAGTACGTCACAGCAATCTCGATCTTTCGATCGCTGTGGATACCGAGATAATATCGTGTACAATTTGTACTCAGCCATTAATCGCGAACGATTTAACAGCGTCAACACCATGTGGTCACACATTCCACCACCAGTGTATCAGAGATTATGTGCTGGAGTCAAATGTATGCCCTATTTGCAACCA